CAGTGGCGTACGCAGGATTTTTCTTGGGGGGGGGCTGGATCAGGTCGCCGCATGGGGCTGAAATCCAATATGGCGATTCGCTCCTATAGTACAGCATTACGAAGAAACCATCTGGGAGGGGGCTACAGCCCCTTTAGCCCCCCCCCCCCTGCGTACGCCCCTGGCTGTCGAGTCCTGTTTCCCTCGATGAGGGGAGACGGAAGCACATCTCACTTGTTGGTGATCGATGCGAGTCTTAGTTGCGAAGATCGAAACGGCAGATTCGAGTTCATGGAGAAAAAATGCTAAGCTTTTGATTAAGATATCAGCGAGAGTTTCCAGCAGAATTTTTAAGAAGGATAGATGAGGAAATGAATGACATGGCTTATAGCTAGAGACTTTAGTGCCTCGATAGCGGACCCCAGATTGGACAAGGGATCAAACGCTAAGTGATTTTCTTTCTGATTCCAGGATGAGTGAAGGTGACACGAACTCGGGCAGCGAAGATATGAACAGCTCACTGCCTCCAGAAGGAGGCTTCCGTTCACGCGCCCGAAAGGGAGCTCTCAAAAAGAAAAATGTCTTCGTCGTCAAAGACCACAAGTTCCTGCCGCGCTTTTTCAAACAGCCAACGTTCTGCTCTCATTGCAAGGATTTCATTTGGTGAGTCAATGCTCGGAAGCTCCTCCAAGAGGTATCCGCCCCCATCTCTGGTGGAGGTTCTTCCTCTTTCTTGTAGAGAAAACACGATCTCAGAAACTTTCGAGAACTCTGATACCGTCAGACGGCCCTTCTGCGGATGGGAGGAGAACTTTTTGCTTGGAAGAATGGCCTCCAGGTGCTCTCAGAGGTTTACCCATTCAGTCGTTTTCGCTGGGAAAGGAATCGAACCCTTCCGGGAGCGCGTCGGAGCTGTAGCAACAGCATAAGCGGTGATGGCCGGCTGTCGGAACGGAGCGGAGAGAAATGGCTGAAAATTCAGCAGTGTATCATTATTTTCGAAACGCTGATTTGGTATTGATGCGATTCCTGCTTCTGATCCAAAGCCGCTGTTTCGATTTGTTTCCGTCAGTCAACTCCAGCTGGGGCATGTCCACCAACAGACTGCGCTCTTGGGCAACCAATCGCGAATAGGAAAAAGGTTCTTTAGAACAGATTCGACGCTGGCGGAAAATTTGAAGTATCCCGATCGAGTAGGCTTCACGTCGGCTCTGATCCTACTCCGGACGCTTCTAAGCATAGTGGAGTATGAGCGAAATTATTTGTTTATACAAATGGTAATTTCTCAAGTAGGATACCCGGAGGTAACCGGCACAGTGTGAGACTTCGAAGGGAGCAGCAAAGCGTTGGTCAGCCTACATTCCAGCCTTTCCGGGGACCTCTTCCTCTTTGGTCGGGATACCGACGGAAAATCATCGATATCCAACAAGAGTCTAATTACTCTTCGGGGATATTCCCGCGTACCTTGGCCACTCGAGGTCTGGGGCAATCGTAAATCGATGGGAGCTCGCAGCAGGAAGAAATCGAGACCTCGCAAGTTGCCGATCAAACGATTTTTTTTCCTAGAGGTCAAAGGGGCGTCATTCCTCCACATTCTATATTTGCGGTGCAATTTTGTATGCCACCGAGAAGGCACGGACAACGAGTCAGACAATCGCTAGGGCGCATGGGGACGAGTGGAGTTTCGGGGGTTCCTTCATGCGAATCGAGACATGTATTGTCTTGACTTCCAGTAGGAAGCAGGGGAGGATTCAGGATGCGATTCCGTATTGATTCCATCTGCATAGCTGTTGAATATGCCGAGGGCTTGGCATTCTCAGGAATGCTCGGGATTCGGAGCACCATTCCGCTGGCAGCGACTGGCACAGCTCGAAACTCCCTAAAGACCGTCGAAATTGCACTAAGATTCCAGGTGAGGGGTTCCGGTGTTCTTGAGCTCGAGGGAGCATTCTCGGAGAGCCTTGGACGCAATGATAAGTCGTGTTTTTCTCGCTGCGTGTCGGTTAAGTCTTTCTGACTCGCGCTTCAAGACCTCTCGAGATGGGTGCCATTCTCCTGAAACTCTTCTCGATTCCACTGAGCTTTCCTTCATTCCGTCGTCGGTTGCTCTCCGCAGCCATCATTCATATTCGGTGAAGCGGTTTTTGGATTCCCTTTCTCCAGCGGAAAACAGAATACTTCCACTCGCTCACCTCAGAATGAATACCATCATCTCCTGACGATGACGCGCGCTCCCGTACTTTCTCAGATCTTTGCGTAGGACTCGCTCAACGCATCGTTCCCCTTCTCTGCTTTTGTGACTGGCTCCATGCGCTTCTCCTCGGGAAGCGGGGAATCAGAAGTCGTAACGTTCCTCTCGAAAGACCCTTCTTTTTCCTGCGCACCTTTTTCGTGGAGAGCTACGGATGACTGGGGAAAGCAGGCAGTCGCAGAAATCCTTCAGATGCCCCATCAGCAGCTGATGCGGTCCTCAGCACGATCAAGCGTCGCCAAGCCGCGTTCTCCCTCACGGCTTCCACGATTACTCCCTCGTGCGCCGCCGGAGGATTTTCGAGAACAGAAATGTCTCCCGTATGGATCACTGTGACGATCTGAGGCAGTAGAGAGCTCGAAGCATCGACGTGCTGTCCGGCCAAGGCTACTAGGCACAATCTTGTCATCCCCGCGGAATTTCCGACGATCTCATGACGCTCAATCATGAGGATGATCCATCACAGAATCGGGCGCTCCAGGATCGCTCGCTCTGTTGAATCGCATCGGCTCTGGCCAGCAGTGCCGACATGCGGCTCGCTGACTGCGGCGGAGGCAGCTTTCCTCAGAACATATTCCGCTGAGGGCCACCGGTAGATGGAACTTCTTTGAATTTCGTCGCCCTCGAAATTTATCCTTCCCGATTTCGATGGAATTCTTGAATCCTGAGTCGATATCGGAGCTCTTCGGACTGGAATCCTCTTCCCGCAATTCAGCCTTCAGGACGAGTCCGCACAGGGACAGATAGAGGATCATTGATACTATCGTGGACTTATCTTTTCCAAGTGTGGTGTGTGAAATTCTCGGCCGTTTGAGCTTCTGATGGAGCGACAAAGATTCCGTGTTGGAAGAGCGGATCGGAGAGATGAACCCATTTGCGAGAGAACATGTCTTCCTCGACCTCAGGGAAAATTAGCTCATCAGGTTCGTCACGCACCGACGGATTTCTCCGAGTAACTGACGAAAACTCGTCCAATACAAACGGATCGAGGAATTGCTTTAGGAGCCCGCGCTTCCGACCCCTGAACAAAAGCCGGGCTCGTCAGTGAGGGGTAAGAAGTGCCGTTTCCCATGCCGTCTAGAGGATTGCAGTGACAAAACCCCTCTCAACAGAAACTCCCGAGACAAAAGTTGTGAATATTTCACGCTTGTGTCGCGTCTAATGCTTTGTGGTCAGTCGCCGTTCCCCAGCAGCGCAGTGTACCGCTCGGGGAGCTCTTTCTCAGCCTGAGATATCGCATCAGATACTCTTTCATTCGTTCTCAGCTTGGAGTGGACCCCCTCAGCAGGACGTTTCTGTTCGGAAGCTCAGGCTATGCTCAAAGTTCTAGGAATGCAAGGTCATTAGGAGGGTGTTTTTTGAAGCGGGAGCTCTCAAACATCACCGATGGGGGATACTCTTCTTAATTGTGGAAGACTTCCTTCCGAAAGTAGCTCCGGGCACAAAGAGCACGAAATGATCCGACTGGATCCTCTTCCCGAATTTTGAACTGGCTGTTGTTTTTCTCTCTGAAAGCGGGTGCAAAAGAGCTCGGCGGAGCCCCGGACCGCTGTTGAGATTCGGATCTCTGAGTCGTTCTCTGTATTCGGAAGTAAATTGAGCGTCTAAGGAACAAGTCGGTCATCAACTTCTAGTGACTGACTGGAAGTTTCTTCGCGCGGTGCAACGTTGTTGATGGTTCGAGACGGCTCCGGTGGTTAGGTCGTTTGAAGTAGCGGTTGTTGTTGGCAATTCTGGTGGCAGAAATAGAAGGCCGATCATTAATCAAAGTCGGATTCCCGGGTCTACTCTGAGGGGACACAAAGACAAAATAAATACACAGGCAAGCCCGCAAAGGCGGTAGACTCGATGGCTCGGCATCAGACTCTACGTAGAATCGGCGAAGGAGGAAGTCCGGTCGTCGTTTTCGTCATCATCGCGTGCCGGCCAGGCGAGCAACAACGAGATATGCCGGCAGCCAACAAGCCAAGGTCGGGTCGGACAATGCCGGGATCCATGGAAAGGAAACGACGACAACGGAAGGTTGTTGTTCTAGTTGTCGTCGGAGCGGATCCCCCCTCATGCGGGCAAGACGGTTTGGCAAGGCTTGCAGAAGGAGAGATGTGCATGTGGTGGAAGATGGTGACGAAAGTAGACGCCCTAGGAGCCGAAGCGAAGGCGATTGTTGCGAGAGTCTCGATTGGCTCTTTCTGGTTTCGTTTTGAGATCTCCCGCGAATTTGCATATTGCTCCCACTGTGGGTTCTAGCAGCAGCAGCAACAGCAGCTGCCTCATTCATGGACGTGCAAGTCTTTCTTTGTGGTAGCAATACCACTCGCACGAGGGAGCATCTCACAATATTCAAAACAAGCTCACTTCGGGAAGCACGACGACGAGCGTTTCGAAGGGTAGCGCTCGTCGGGAAGGGCCGGATTTGCCTGATTGCAGAATTATTTTTAGACCTCTGAGGGATCCTTCTCGGTCGTTTTTTTTTTGCAGAACTCCAAACAAAATTCTAATCCCCGATCGACCACTGTACGCGGCGGCTATCTACAGCCGTTGATGTCGGTCTGCTCGAGGCGCTACTCAGGGGTGTAGTCAAATATCGAGCGTAGCCTCGATAGGGCTGACGCACCTCGACTCCCGTGCGGTTCAACGCTGGAGTCTGCGCCGTTCGGCAGCGGGTTTTAACCGTCAGTATCGGGCTGTGATCGTCATATTGTCGTATCATCCCCCCAATGTCGTCGTAGAGCCGAGGATTTTAGGCTCAATCACGAATAAAGACTGATTCTCGAATCTTGGAGAGACGGTGTTCCACGAACGCGAGGGGTAGACTCTCCTAGTTCGCTAAATCCTTAGACTCGATGTCCTGGCACGTACAGTCCGGCTGATAATTTCCTGTTTTTCTCGCTGAAGTGAAGAGAGACTCATAATACTATTTCCGCGGAGATTTCAGGTATGTACCTTTGCCCAAAATCTGCCGTTGGTCCGATGGCAATCGCGATGAACGGAATAATTGTAGGGATAACGAGAGACGGACGCTACGTCGGTTTCCCGTGACGACTGAAGATGCTTCCGGCTCTCCGATGTAGCCGGGCGAACGATGTTTTTCCGCCACGCTTCGTCGAATGCGAATGATCTTTAGATTGAGGGTTCGGAAGCTCGGGAAGGCATCTGAGTGAGAAGAATCCCCTCGTCTTGCTTCGCCTTCCCGGCGTCTTCGTCCTGAAATTAAAAATAATAGAAGTATTCTCGGAGAGATCAGCTGATTTACGACGTGGCCCTAAAGCCATTGCTCGACAGGCACGTTGGGCTGCGCAACGACTCCAGCTAAACACGGACGATGTTCCAGCCGTAATGACATTCTTTATGCCCCCATAAAATTGGCAAAAAGGTCTACACAAACGAGAGCCGAGGTGGCAGAAAAAGAGCTCCTCTTTCACGCCGAGGAAAAGAACCATCAGCGCTCCGTCTGCGTCGGCAGCCGTACAAACGCCGCGAAAGACATTGCTAACTTGGCTGAATGGTGAAAAATAGGTGCGTCCGACAGGCCGTCGAGCAGCCTCGCGGATCGCAGTCATAGAGGCTTTGGGAGCGTTCCCATTTTTTTCCGCTCCCAACCACACGAGTAGTGATGAACGAACAGAAAGCAGCCTCCCTGCGTTAGCCGATGCATAGGGGCTCTCGACCCGAGCTCGCAACCAGAAGCCCGAAAATGCGTCCATTAGAACTCGATAGATGATGAATCATTCTGTTACCATCAGAGCCAGATGGCGGGGTGTTTCCCAGCTCATCCGAACAGCGATTTCGTTCCTCCATCATCAGTTGGCTCGCTTCCGTGCGGTCGGGCGGAATCCGAGAATAGCAATTTTCGAACAAAGACGTAATTATACCTTGAATAGGCCACTCAAAAAGTACCTACTTCAGTTCCGCCTCTCTGAACAGATTCAGCGAGGTTTCCCGAACCAAATGTGAATGAGACTGGAAAAAAAACCGGAGGCCGTTCTCCGTCGAGAACGATGAAGGAAAAGTTCTTTCAACCCTGCTCTCGTATCATGTGTTGTGTCTGATCTTGCGTCTGACAATTCTAAGCGTCCACATCTCGAATTTCAGGGGCTTCGGAAAACAGGGATACCAGTGCCAAGGTGAGTGAACGAATATTCCTACGTCAAGCGTGGAAATCCGACCTGTCTTACACCACTCATCGGCAGCCGAGCCGCGTTAGGTTGCGCGTCTGTGGTGGCTTATCGGTCCCGAGTGACGAGCCTGGACCGGGAACAGAGTATCGTTGCCGGAGTCCTATTCCTAGTCGGAACATATGATTGAGCGACACTTGCTCGGTCGGGTCGTAGGCTTTAACTAGTCGACGAGGACAAGTCGTCGAAGCAATTGACATCCTGTGCACCGATACGTCGCCGGGAGCTACGGACTGAAAGCTCAACACGTCCCTCGGAACAAAGAGCTCCGTCTCACGACCCGCCGGAGGCTCCGGGCCGGTACGAGACCGATGATTCCCGATGTGGGTCGGCTATTCTCGCGGGGCAGACATCGGAGCCTAAGAAGAGCCAGAAGCGGTCGAAGTAGATCCATCCCGTGTACTCTGCCTGTGACCTTGAAGTACTCAGGGGGTCGGAGTCGTGGGAGCGTCAGCGACTGGACGGGGCACAGCAGGAATGAAGAAAAAGTAAATTACTTTTTGATCTTTCGCTTCGTTTCCGTCGCAAGCTCCCCAGCATTTTTTTCCTCCTTCAGAGACGGGTCTGGTGCCACTCCGAGCGGCACTGACGCGTCAGTGCGAATTATGGTACGGAGCCGGCAGGATGCTCGACCACCTTGTAGTAGGCTCCACTCCGTTCAACAGATACGTCAGAGCGTGACCTATCCGTCACGCCACATTAAGTACGGTCTGCGGATGCACGGGGGCGGACTCCGCTCGAGGGTCCATTCAGAGATCGGCAGGCAGTGGCAACAGCATATCTCGAGGGCGCTGTACTGCGTGCGTTCGCCCACCTGTCGAACGCGATCCGGGTGTCTCCGATACGCGAGAAGCTTGGGAAGAAGAGCTTGGGGAAAACGTTACGCCAACTTGCGGAACAGACCTTGGTGCCGTGGAGGGAGGCGGACGAAAATTAGAAAAGCGGAGAAAATGAAGCCCTTCGAGAACGATGCGACCGGCGCAGCGTCTCTTACTTCCCAGAAAATTATTTATGAGCGATCGCAAATATTCACGTGTGTTGCCCTCACTTCGATGCCCGTGAGCCCCATCCTCTCAAATGGGACGTTACGCGAAAGTATTCTCGCCCCCGCTTAATCACAGCGGCGCTGCGTCACAAGACATTGGACGGCTTGAGGTTCTAGCTCCGCGGTCACATTCGACCTCTCTACTCCCTGGATGGAAACGCGTTTTACGAGTCGTGAGTCTTCCTAGCAGCTACGGTAAGTCGGCGGAATGTGCCCGCCGCAGTCGTAGTGATCTGCATAGTGATATTTCTAGACATCGCGCCGTCGTAGTTGTTTTCCAGAATGTTGAGCAGGTAGTCCTAGAGGAGCATTCTCATAATAAAAGTCGCACACGGCGGTCATAATAGGCCTGCGAGCTCCTTCTCTATGGACGCGGAACCGGTAACGACCATTCTGCGATGCAGGACATTGCCTCGCAAGACGTCATTCTTCCCCCGGAGGAGAATAGGAAACGAATAAAGCACATTAACGACGCACCGACTCGCAAGCCACCGTGGCTCGCCATCAAAGGGAATCAGTAGTGGCTTCGATCCCTCGTGCTGATAACGAGCCCAGTGCTGACTCAAAAGTTCTTCTCGATATGGGCCGATGGGCGCCACGACATCGGTGTTGTGGATCATCGGGAATCCTCTCATTCTATGGAAGACGGAATCTGTTTGCAGATCCGACTCGCAGGCTTCGTCCCGCGCTCGGAGAACGCTAGTTGGTTTATCGGCTTCTTCCCCGCGAGCGACGACTACGAGGACTAGGACCCATGAAGGTTCCTTGCGGCGTCGAAGTTTCGCAAATAGCGTGCCTGCATACACATGCCGGCCGTGGCGTGCCGAGAATCGTCGTGGTGGGCTAGAGCAGCCGTTCCAATTCGGTCCGCCCGACGCAGTCTCGGCCCCAATTTGTTGAACGCCTTCCGTTCGTCGCACGCCCAGAACATACACGTTATGCAGGTTATACTCGAACAATACATCTCTACACGCACGTGGGCGTTCACTTCCTCTTCGACCGGAGCCCGGTGTTAATCGTTGTCAAGCGGAAACAATACCTTAAACACATCCAAAGCACGGCATCCGTTTCTTGTTCATATCCGACACTGAGATTCGAAGGTAGTAATTCACCCGATCGAATGCGGACGAGGCACGTCCTCAACTACGTACAATCGGCATTGATCGATCGGTCGCGGACGTTCGGACTAGAGTCTCCCCGCCTCGATGGGCTGTTTGTTCTCAGAACGGAAAAGAACTTGAGATGAACTCTCTAAGAGGTTCCGGAGAAAGAAGGTGCAATCGGGGAAAACTCTGATCTTGTCCGGTATACCTGACTGCCGCACAGACTCCACATATGTATAAATATCCGGAAGCTGCAGCTTTAGTCCCCCATTTCGCTCAGTTGAACGAACTCTCGTTTTCATGGGAATTATATGCGACGTGCCCGCCCGACACATAGGCATTCTCTTGAATTTCACTCAGCCTCAGCCACAGAGTTCCCCTCGCTCGGGAGCGGGAAAAGACTTATTGATGTCGAAACTTTGAAGGTAACGAGAAAAGTCGACTCGGCCGCAGCGGGTCTTGAGCGGGATCGAGCGCAAGAACGCGGTCGTTGTAGAATATTTTAGGGAAGATCAATATTGAGCGAAAGAGTCAATCAGCCTCTCGGTCCACTGGCGCGCCGGGCGGCGGTCTACAGGGGATCTTGGAAGTAGCGGCGGGACAGAGGGATAATCTCCCAAGATTCAGAATATTGACTCCTGTCGATGGGAGGAGAGAACGCAGGAAGCTGCTAGCGGCACGTCACAGCCGCCGCTGCTGGCACTAGATCGGGTGATCGGGCAAGTTCGCTGATCTTGTTCCGCACAAGGCCAGTTGTACATACTCCTATCGAAGCCGTTGATTCTCCTCCAAAATCGCTGGAACTCGGCGTTCGGAGGCCCTGAATAGACTCGACTTACATCGATCGCATGATCTCTCCTACCATCCCCCCCTATCCTGCTCTCTTCTCTCAGGTCGGTCGGTAGTCCAGTCGAGTGTCGCTTGCTGCTCTGCTAAACGTTTCCTCCCGATTGTGCCCGGACGCCTAAAGCGGCCTTGAATCGATCAGAGCCGCACGGCTCGGGATCTAGACCCTTTCAATCAATGAGGCCTTCTGGTGCTCTGATGAGGGAATGGAAGACGATTATTTGACGAGCAGCCATCCTAGTGAATCGGCTTAAATGGGAGCCCAAATCCATCCGGATTGTGAAAACTTCTCAACGGAGAGACCACAACTCAAACGTTATTCGGACTTATACGAGCCCTAATCGATTGAATGGGGGCTGGGTCTCGCCACCCCGAGACCTGATGGTTGCAGTCGGGTCAAGCAAGCGTCCCTGTCGTTGTCAGGGAGACTTTGTCTCTTTGACGACTTCGGAACAACGCGTCCTCACTCCTGTGCTAGTGCTGCCGCTCAGTGCTCCGTTCGGGGTATAGCGTGGAGATGTGGAGAAGATCGGATGACGGAAAAAGCGGGGTCACTCAGGTCACTCAGCGGCTAAGGCGATCTGACCTGGTGCAAATAGAAGAGTGGCAAGAATCGAGCCATCTGTACGGGGAAATCGCATCGGAAAAAAATAAACGGAGGAGCCATCATGGAGTCACCTTGCACGATGTCTTTTACGACTAACGGTCGGAGTGAGGAGTCAAGTAACGCTTGGAGCGTACGGCAGTCCTTATTTACGAGCAGACAAACTTTGTGTGCGCTGAAGCATTACGATGCGTTTCCAGCTCCGTCGAAATCTAATTCCAATAATGCTTCTCCCGCCAGCTGCGCATAACGTTGCGCTGGCAGCGTGCGTCGTTGCCAACGCCATCCCTCGCCGGCGTGCAATCGCAGTCGCCTCCGACTTACGTGCATCCGCAAAGGCTCTTCTCGGTTCGATGCGATCGTCCACTCCCGCGTTTTATCTTGGATGAATCGGAGAGTTCCTTTTCGATGGGGAAGAGAGAAACGGAAAACTCGACGGATGATTACCGATCTTTTTGGGACATACACTCGCATATCTATCTAGCAGGAAAGCCTTCTCGGGCTGAGTCCCAGCTGACCATGGCCCTCCATTCGATAGGGTCTCAAAATACCTCATGGGAAGCTGCTCGTGGCATCAAGCCTGGCGGACGTCACGGTCTATGCTAACTCGTTCTACTTTTGATCCACGTTTCCACACCAACTATTTATAGATCATTCCCGGCATGGAATCCTCCATCTTAGTTGGCCGTCTCTCGCTGAATGGGCGGAAGGCACACTGTTATGAGAAATGTTTGATCCCCGAAACTCAGGACGTGTTGAGCTACATAGAAGATCGCTTGAAGTTTCCCTATGGACCCGAGTTTCGGTCCCTGGTCCCAAATGAGTGAGATGCCCACCCGCTTTCCTTTGAAATTCGTCTCCGTATTTTCTACGGAGTTTCTCTGCAGAATACGGAAAGCAATACTAGAAAGTAGAGCGACGCACGGCCTGTCGACAATGAGAAAATGTTAATGACAACATTGCTAACCGGGTACATCGCTGGTCAAAGAGAAAACGGAGGTCTCGGTCGTTGTAAACGTCGAATCGAGCTCACAATGCCTCACTCACAATTCGCCGAAAAGCAATTATTTTGTCTGGTGAGCCCACGCGGTGAATCCGTCATCGTTCGATTAAAGTCTCAAACCTCGATCGATACGCTATTTTTCGAACAGTCGGCAGTTCGAGGGTGGAGCACATCGGAAGTCTTCTATGGAACTGTCCGATTTCTAAGGGAGGCCTGCTCCAGCTCTTCTGGGGAGGGCTCCATCGGTCGTCTGTCGCTGATCCGCCATGCGAAGCATCCGTGGGTTCCGATGCGAGACATACCGACGCTCTGCGACAAGCTATTATACCGTCAAGCCCGGATCTTCGCATTGTCGATATGATGTAGAAGGGGTGATAATGATCATGACATTGCAAGGAACTCTGTGGTCGCTGGAATGTCCTGCCGGAATCCAAGAACTCATCCCGTCATGATTGGCTGTCACGTACAATGGAACCTCAAGGCTGAGGAGCACTTGGCGGCCTAATGGGATTAAGGCCCGAAAAGGAGCGTGGAGATGCCAGCCATATATCATTTTTTCCTTTCACGTCGATGAGGCTGAGTCGACTTCGGGAAAGTCCTCGTCGAGATATCTCGTAGCCGACAATCACGACACTTGACCGTCAACCCTGCCCAGTGAGAGGATAAGACTTTCGGAAATTCCGCCTATATTGCAATCCGGGAGGGGAGAAGAGAAAATCCGAGCCGCGTCCCTCGCAGAAGTTTCGGCAAGTTCACCGCTTTCCTGTTTCTCTCGAGGTTTACCTCAGGGTTTGCCGTGCGGGAAGAAATCGCAGGCTTGCAGCTAGAAGCAGAGCTCACAAGCTCCAGTGAACATTCTCTGCATCCTGACACCGAGGCCCTGGGGCCCTCCTTGAGCTGTCGAACCATTCGCAATCGTTCTGCTCATGGCGTTCTCGGTTGCAAGATATGTAAGCTCTGGGCTCTTTGTGATGGCTGCTGGGGCTTTATGTTGACATTTTTGGGGAGATCGATGTTCCTCTCTAGAAGTCCTTGAGCCAAAGCTAAATGGTGAAACTAAGTTCTACCACCGAGACTCTAGGCCATGTTGCGGTAGCTATTGGAGGCGTGCTCGGGAACTAATCGATGATCACCAGAGATGATCAGGCAGCTCATGGATACGATTAATGAGGAAGAGCATCCGTTCAGACGGAACTCAAAGACTCACGTGTTGGCGTAAATGCGTTTCTCGGAATTCGCGCCGGAAGACTGACGAACCCTCGGCTCTGAAGGACTCGGTATCGGGCATCGCCTCGGCGCTATTCCCTCGTTGGAAGCAACCGACTATAGCGGAAATGTAAGGCTCCGCTGTACCGGGGCATAGGCAAGACAATTTCCCAACTGCTCAGGAGGGGATGCGAGCGGAATGAGGGGGGGGGTGAAATGTCGAGCTATGGTAAAACCTCAGGGAAATACCAAGCTTCTTGACTTGGATTTCTCCCGTAGGAATGTCCTCGAGCGAACACACGGATTAGGGACAAAAGACGAGCTCATCGGAACGGTCTTGGAGTGAACGGTGGGGAGGGACCACACGGGGACCTGAAGAAGACGATTGATGGGCTCTGTTTTTGAGGACGCTCCTGATTGCTTGCGTCCTCTTCGATTCGTGCCCAGAACGTCCGTCATCAAGCCCACTGTTAGTCCGGCCGCCGGCTGTCTGCACCGCGGGAAGACGGAAAGGGAGCTTCTGCTTCCATGGGTAGCGAACCAGATTAGGTAGACGATGTTCTCGCATCCCTTGCCGCACTAACGAGTTGACTTGGCCACTGAGCCAATCAATCATCGGCTGCTGGATGAGTGGAAACACGGACAGACTCGGCCGGGATTCTGAATGAAATAGCCACTTCAAGACTCAGTGACCCCTTTTGTTTGCTTTTCAGTTTGCAGCTTCGTAGTACATAAACGATGCCACGAATTCGTAACCTTCAAATGTCCGGGAGCCGACAAGGGCGTCGACTCAGACGACCAGAGGACAAAACACCAGTTTGTGGTAACCACCTACACAAGTCCGACTTTCTGCGATCATTGCGGCTCATTACTCTATGGGCTCATCCATCAGGTGAGCGTTTTTGTGTGCTTATACCAGCCTCCTCTGAGCGTATTCCCTCGAATGCGCGGAAGCGAGAATACCGCATGCTGCCGCACTGGAATTACGGCTCGCTTCGGTTCCCATCGTCAAACGTTTTCGACCTCGAGCGGTCCCACCTCCGACTCTGGTAACCCTATCTTATGGAGTGGAATGAGCTCAACGACCTGCTCCGTGAGAACTTATTGGAGAGGTAAATGAAGACTCGCTGCAGGGACCGGATCTCGACTTGATGGATCCATCTAGATTCCTGAATCGGTGAAACTTTTGAGTCTCGCATCGATTCGAGCATAGATCCCCAAGGAGAGACGGTAATCAATCACCTTCGGATGAAGGCTGGCCGGATGTTGTCCGTCCGCCAGAATGAACGACGTCGGATCGAAACGTTCGAAACCAAGTTCTCTTTATTATCGCTGATCTAATAATGGATCGAGTCATCGGAGGTTCCGACTTTGTTTTGTTCTCGTCCCAGAGCTCAGACTCGTCACAACTCACAACAAACACCGGAAAAGTTTCAATAAAGGGGAAAAACTCTCTTTGCAGGGCTTGAAATGCAAAGCTTGCGACATGAACGTCCACAAAAGGTGTCAGGAAAGTGTTCCGAACCTCTGCGGATGCGATCACACCGAGCGCAGAGGCCGGATTGATCTCAAGGTGAGAAAAAGTTTCGTCGCCGAAATTCTGAAGCACCAAACAAAGCTTGGCTTGCGAAGGCCTAGAAGCCCCTGACGGCCATCATTAGGGCTCGCAAGCCGGCTTGGTAGGGTGGGCCCTATGCTTATAGATGGCCCCGGATGGATTGCTCGGCGGCAGGTGGTTTGACCGCTAGCGGTCACTTCCGACGCCGAGCGAGCTCGTTCAACTTCCCGAACCTGTATTCACCGAGAACGAATAGCTCAGGGGCGACTTTCGTGGTAGGTCGGCGAGGGGTGGATGTCGAGGTACCATGCCTTCGAGCTCGCATCTCGGTAATTGAACGCCGCACTCGAAAATGAAGGGAAATATATTCGTTGACGACGCGATAACTAGCGTAGGAAGCATGCTGAACTCTTCGGGGAATGTTCCGGGAACGACCCATCGTTAGCTAATACTCTCTCGATGCCCCGACCTCCGGGGACATAACGTCGATACGGACTGCTCGGGGAACATGATTTTGTCGGAGCGTCTCGATATGCTCACCTCACCCGACGTGCTCTCATTCTACAGGTGTCTGCCCAGAACAACAAATTGCAAATAGAAGTTAAACGAGCCAGAAACCTGATTCCGATGGATCCGAATGGGCTATCGGATCCCTACGTCAAACTGAAGTTGATTCCTGAAAGTGGAGACTCAGTCAAACGGAAGACCAAGACCATCAAAGCCAACCTCAACCCAGAGTGGAATGAAATCATCAACTTGTGAGTACCACCCCCGTGTACGATGACGCCCACATTCCTGGTTCGGTGTTTCCGCCGTCAACCGCATCTGTCCCTTCGATTTTCTCCTGTCGACCGCTAGTCGTTGCTCCTCCCGTGTCAGAACTCCATCGGGTCGGAATCCTCTAGATTTTGGAAAGGCTCCGAAGAAACCGGAGCACAAGGTCTGTATCGACAGCGATTCTCAGAAATCGTGGTCGCGGCTACATGGGAACTGGGAGGAGAAGGACAGTTCCGGGCCCTGTCGCGAGGGAACCGGTCTCCTAGCAGTAAATGAAACGGCTCCTAGTTGGTTCGGACTGGAGCTCATAACAGCAGCCTTGTCTGACACTACGCAGAGTTATAAGCTGGCCGACCCCGCCAGCGTCGGCGTCGTTAGCTTGAATTCCTATCCGGCGCGTTTCGGAGCAACTTAACCATACAACGGCGAGTATGGTAGTTCACCACAACCACCATGACCACGGTCCAGGCATTCTTGCGAGGACTGCTCCGAGCAGGATTACCCGCAGCCGGCGGGTACATCGTCGACGATGAGCTTCGCCCTCATGGGGATATATTTTTTATCCTTCTGCATTCGCACAACTTCACATCCGTATCGTGGCAATGTCTTGGTCGCAGAGTACCGAAGCATCAACGTTGGGAAGCAGCGCCGGACTACACTAGTTGAGCTTTCATCGTCCAAGCAGTCACTCGGCGACGCCGTTGAACACGCAAGCAGACATGAACAGGGAGCGGCCCGTCCTTGGAGATTCAACTTCGTCCTTGCTCGTTCCTATTAGCCGGCTGGCTTCTGACTTACTTACTCAACAAGCTGTTTTTGAGCTCATTCGCGGAGCGTAAAACTTGCTTTGAGCCCCTGCTCCCTCGCTAACTCTTTTTCATATAGAGGAAGTTCTGTCGGGAAACTTGTTCCTAGTAGTTCTCCCCGGGAAGAACGGGCTGGGAAATCCCGGGGGCAGCTCGCGACCAACAATATCCGAGATTTTCGATAAACCCTCTCGGTCACCGATTCTCTCGTCTGTGCGGACGTAGCGTGCTCCGTAAGTGAAGGGGCTCTCGAGTCGTTGGGCGTGGACACAACACACGAAACGAAGCACAACACATGCGATATCCGAAACCAAAAGTTCGGACCCATCTGAGCGACATACTTGATATGGAGCTGGACCCCCGATTGACTGAACTCCACCGTGGAGTAATCAGCGATTCAAGGGCCTTGCTCGGAGTCTCGAGCCAAGCCTCGAGGAGACTCGAACTTATAGATCTCAACGAATATTGAAGGCTCTGCGCCGCATCGCTGGGAGCTCCTGTCGGAGATCTGATCTCCGAACGAGCTCCCGAACAATTTCGATGTCCGAATGAGTGCTGCTCGTCGGATCCTCGACCGAGCCAGGAAAGGCTCCACGGGTCGGCCGGGCATATTCGGGAGTCGTCTATGAGCAGACGACAAAGCTCTCATGAGCACAAAGATTTCTCGAATCGCATGGGGAGGTATATTGATGTGGGACATCCCAGTTCTGTCGATGTCGACTCCTCTGGCAAGCTATCGGTCTAGCGATCGAGCCGATATTATCAAAACTTCGCGAATCCGAGACGAAGCTTTCAGCATACAAATTATTGCGGGGGAATCTTTATTCGATCCCGTTGAACTCGGAGCTTTTCTGTACTGCGTGGGTGAAGAAGAGACCATGGGAGGTATCCGTGACTCAAGACGTCGGCGTCGCGTCGTGGGCTCTCGAGAACGACGAGGAGAGGCGTGGCGGAGTTACGGTAGATTCTTTAATTAGAAGCTGAGCGATGAGACACGCAGATCCGAACTTTGGAATTCCCCCTCCCTCCTCCCCCGCTTCATCCCAATGACAGCCGGATCCGCGGTGAATAAAATTCCAAGGTCGAATCCGTGACACTTTGATCATGGAACTCTTCCTGGAAACCCTAGATCAGTGAAAAGTTTATACTTTAGGAATCGGCTGGTGGCTTCGCTACGCAGTAGAGACTTCTTTGATACATTCCCGTCCTGCTCCTTTGCAAAATACTACCTCAGAGCTCAGTCGGTGAGCGACGATCGACAAGAGAAATCCTCCGAACATACGAAAATAAGTTCTTGATTCCGCTTGTGGATTTTCTCGAGATCGAAGCCCTAATTTATCACGGACGCTCGGTCCGCTCAAATTGATCAGAGTTCCGTGAGATTTGAGCAAATCCGTGCAGAAATCAAGCTTTTCAACTCCGCCGAATCTCGAAACGAAAAACATATGGGCACCTTGTCGGGCTTCTCTCATCAACATTTTTCCCTCCGACGACGGCGACGTCCTCTCTGATTGCTCTCCGCTAAAAAGTTCCCGAACCGCTGAGATCGTGCTCGATTCGTCGGATATTCTTCCTGTGTTCTAATTTTACGAATCAACGTTTTTCCAGAGACCTGAAAGCGGAAGACAAAGACCGACGATTGTTGGTTGAAGTTTGGGACTGGGACCGAACCTCGAGAAATGACTTCATGGGATCGCTATCCTTTGGCATCTCCGAGATTCTCAAGTCCCCCGCCGAGGGATGGTTCAAACTGCTTACACAAGAGGAAGGCGAATACTACAATGTGCCCGTGCCTCCGGACGACGACGTGGCGGGACAGCTCAAGGTAAGAAGTTTCCGCTGAGTTTTCCACGGGTCTCTCGGAGGCTTGCTCATTTTCTCCCAACAAAGTTCCGCGGTTCGCTCGTCAAAACTCAGTCTAGCCTGATGACGCCACGATATTACCCTGATAATTTATTCAATCGACTTGCGCGGCGGACTCCGGAGCGGGTCTAGCCCCGTGGTGGATGTCATTATCCCGGCTGTTCGAACGGCCGAAACGAATATAGAAGGATGTTTCTGATGCTCCTGAGACCGGCGGTTTCCCGAGGAACCTGAGGCCTCATGGTAGAGCTCCGAACATCATGAATACAGTCTTGGAGCGGAGTTCTCTGGTCGGGGCTCAAGCGATAGAGGACGAGCTCCACGCGGGGGGAATGAGCTCGTCCCATGGGGGTCGCGACCCTGTCGGCCCGAGCCCCTCTATCGGCTGATGTATAAATCTTGCCGTTTTCTGTCGATGCAAACTCCTCCGCCGAAACCGCGTTGAATACATGATGTTCGGAGTTCTCGACGGAAAAACTGAGGAATTCTCCGGCAGGGAAGTTGATATTGGGGGAACATTGTACACTTCGCAATCAAGATCGACTGAGGCGAGACTTCAATCGCGCAGCGACTTCTGAGTGTAAGCGGCCGGACAGCAAGAGGTAGACGGTCGCGTCACTGGACAACTTTTTTGAAGAGCCTCGCTCAAATAGATACTGCTCGAGGCGAAAGAATCAGAGAGAGGGCACAGACCAGACGATTGTCTGCGAAGCTGGAGTAATGCGTCTCAGCTCGAGTGAGCAGAGGGATAATGAAATTGGAATACAGCTCCAACTTCACTCGGAGCGGAACCCGGAAAGCAAACTCGATTTGCCAGACCGAGGCGGATTTGCTTTTCTTCCTTATTCCTTCTCCTTTCGCGGTCTCATTGCTCTCCACACCTCCCCGTCTTAAAGAAACCACTCCGTCTCCACCTTGTACGGTACCCAGACGTGCACTTCCTCCTGTCGACTGCGGTGAGGCGCTATTGCAGCGAATTCCTGCCACCGCCGCCATGGGGAGACTTGTTGTCCTTGCGAGCTTTTTCGACATCATCCGGAGGAGGACGTTTCGAAGTTCACCTGCACGGTCCTGGCTTCGTTATAGAGCGTTGCGTCCAGACGCGTCCGACGTGATCTCACTCGTGATTTGCATTTTCGTTCCGGGCTTCGCAAGCTTTTTCGCATGCTTTCCTACCCGTGGCTGCTCTCCCCCCGTCCCCCTCCCCAACGACATTAGCCCCCGTCCCCCATCCCGAGGGACGACGGACGTTCGCCGTCGAAAGAGCAACGGCAAGCCAAGCGGTACGGGAAGCCGCCAACGCCGCAAACGTGATTGTTGTAACAATTCGCCAATGGCCGTCAGTGATAAGTAGGAGGAGGTCGGAGCTGCGACATAGCGTTCCGCCTCCCAACGATCGCTGTTCGGGCGTCTTCCACCGACCTCTCTGTGGAAATTCTGTACTCTGGTCAGCCACGGGTCATCCCCTAATCATCTAATCTCGAGGATTTGTGAAATTGTTCGTGAGCGGGACAAGAGACTCAAGATCCAATGAATGCGATCTCATCTGTCAGGCGGGCCATTCATCTGATGGAATCAGAGCGGGGCTGAAGCGACTCCGTCATCGAGCACCATGTGTCGAATGATTCTCGAATTTCCTGGCGCTCTCCCTCTCCAACAAATTCCGGAATCGATTCCATTGCGAAATAGTTTTCTCCCCCCGGAGCTCCTTCAAAGTCAAAATGTGAGAATTCCGCCGCGAGAGAATTGTAAATTGAGCCTCGGAGGGGTCCTTCGCCAACATGGAGATTTGCCCTCCGTTGAGAAGTGTTCCCCTCATTGTTCTTCAATGAACCAAGTTTTTTCCCTTCCGTCCCGCCCCGACGCTCTTCGCCCATCTCTCGGTGCGAAGATGACTCTCCTGGCGAACGCGTCATGAATATTCCTCACGGGAGCAGGCTTCACGCTTAGTGCATCACGGTCCCGTGTATGGGCATCCGAGCGGGACGTCGCCTCTTCAGCGTAGACGAGCGAGCAGGTCCGTAAGCGGATTAGCATTCATGGAACTCATGAAACTGCCGTGAGGGGAACTCTGTTTTCTCCTGCTCGATTGATTGGGCACGGACAGAATGGCTCGAGGAATCTTGGTGAGCAGCTGAGGGTGTTCCTCTCGCTTGTCGGCACGTAGACAAAATGGAGGACAGAGGTACAGGAAGCGACGACAGAGAGGAATGAGACCTGGAAGCTATTTATCCGGGAGTGTTCCGGAGACTAGGCGTTCGGCTTTTCTGGAGGGATATACGGAGCTCCGGATTCCCCGGGGCGTTTTTTTCCGGGGCTGACAACTGGTCGATTTCGCGCGGTGTCACAGTGTCATCGGAGGGACGATGTTCACTTCAGACGGTTTCATATACTCTCTTTCAGACTCGTCTGACAACAACCTCGAAAGACAAGACGTCCACCGGCATCCGTCAGACCGACAGGGATCGGTCGGCAGGAGACAAAGACGGCAAAGACAGTGCTGTGAGTGGGGAGGGCGGCAAGGGAGGCGATGTCATTCGCGCCTCCGACTTCAATTTTCTCATGGTGCTTGGGAAAGGCTCGTTCGGGAAAGTCATGCTCGCCGAACGGAAAGGCACCGACGAACTCTACGCCATAAAGATTCTCAAAAAGGATATCATCATTCAGGTGAGTCAGCCTTATTCGGTCGGTGCCTGGCTAAGTTCCTTCCGCCTTCTGGCTTATGAAAGTCATTTATTCGTGGTGAGATATTTTCTGCCCAATCCGCTTGGCTACGTCCGAGCTCCTCCTTTCAATATTCTTTCCAGCGAGCTAGTTCCCTAGCTAGCCGACTCCCATCCTTGGAGTTTTGGCTCCCGGTCTCACAGGGAGCTTACCCCAATAAAAAGATTTCCGCTGTGGGGAACGCCCTTCGACAGCTTCATCCGGTGCCAGACGCCGAACCCTGAATCTCCCGGGCCTCCTCGGTGGATCTTAGGCTGCGTCAAACGACGCTGTCCGATGTTCTTCGGGGCTCTGATCCACGTCAAACACAAGGTTTGCGGGATTCGGAGCCCGTGGCATCAGTATGTCATCGTTCATGTCCTGCCGATGACACTAATGAAGTTATCGAGCCATTGGGAGCACCATTTCCCAGAATTAGAAGCAGGTGGGCCAAGTTGTCGTGGGTGAAGGCATTCACACAGCGTTCTAGGCCTCCGGGCAACGAGGCGACTCGAAATTTACAGGAAGAGCGAGGCTCGCGACACGTGGCCCCAAATTACCTGTAATCGCTCTCAGTTGTGTTCTTTGATTTCGTCTCCTCGGGACGACGATAGGTCGAATCTTCGTACTTTCTCCGTAGAGCTCAGATCCTCCGGAAATAATGGGTTGAACTTGCATCACCCCGGGAAGCAGAGCTTGAGAATCCGAAAGACGAGCCCTCTAGCTGGAAATAGTCCTTAGCACCGCACCGTGAGGGATTGAATCTACACGGGATCGATGCCCAGAATCGGGATTCACTAGGACGGAGCGAGGCATCTAAGTCGAGCCTGTGCTCCGTTGATTTCATCGGGACCTCTGCAACCGAAGCGACGCGTCGCTTCCTGCTCGACGTCCGGTTTGGATTCGCCGAGTGCAAACTCGCTGTGGAAGAGCCTCGAAAGCCGCACTATTGGAGACGTCTCTGAGCAGTCCATCTCTCAATGGGAATCGCTAGAGGGAAAGAATTCCGCGCGTTTTGAGAGACCCATACTTTGCTCCTTCACAAACGGTTTTCGAACATTCGAAGAGGCGTATTGTCACGCTCAGTGCATCGGGAAAAACTCCCGTGTTCGGATCATTCATACATTGCGGTAACTGGTGGATGAATATTTGACGGACACCGATGCGTTCCGTGTTCAGATTCCACTCGGCGTCACGGGGCATCGTAATATTTTCGGAGATCTTCGAATTCCGCAGAGCCTCGGCTGAGCTCCGATTCGTTCAAAAACCCGCCGTTCCGAGTTGAAAAACCCGGAGCAGCCATTCATGCGATGACCTTCAGCCGTGCGTGGAGGGACGCCCACGATATCGGAATGTTCGAGAGTATCTGAGCACTCGCATCGCGGGACAATACCGTGACAGAGCGAGATATCGGAAGTTCCTTTCATACTTCGGACTGATTGATGAACGCGGAGGTCGACCCCGGCGTGGGTTTCGGGGAACCTGTCGAATGCGGTCTACATCTGAAGCGCGTGTCATTCTGGATGAGGTCTTGTCAAAACCAGACACAGCGCGCGAACTCAGGGCGATTTCCCGCGATCCCGCTCGGGTCAGAGGAACCTCAACAACGGCTCGTCATCTCCAGCATCGGCGCCCTTGTGACGAGCCCGATGCTGGGTTGACTTAATGGGGTCTGAGTGAGTCGCAGGGAATGACCTTCCGAGCCCGATCATCGAGCGAAGGTCCTCGGATTCCTCCCCGTTCGAATTCCCCCCGGATTCAAGGAGAGTCAAGCGGCAGAATCAAGCGCGCCAGAATCCGCGGTGGAATCGTATAAGTCGGAAAAAACGTTACACAAACGGTTCACATAACGGGGTGATGATACTTCGAGCTGTCGAGGGTCTCGCGAACATTCACTTTGTTGAGTCGAAGCTCGAGAGCTGTAGAGAGAGAGGGGCAAGAGGGGAAGATAAATATCGATACGGTGAGGGAACGCGAGCTCCGTCGCCGACGATGCCACACGTACGACATACAAACCGCAGCCGAGCATGAGAGCTTGTGAATAATTTGAAGCTGACGCGTTTGTTCCCCTTTTATCTTGCAGGATGATGACGTCGAGTGTGCAATGGTTGAGAAGCGTGTCTTGGCGCTCTCCCGTAAGCCGCCCTTCCTGGTACAGCTCCACTCGTGTTTCCAAACCATGGAGAGATTGTACTTCGTCATGGAATACATCAACGGCGGTGACCTAATGTTCCAGATTCAACAGTGCGGAAAATTCAAGGAACCTGTCGCCGTGTGAGTGGAGCAGTCCGCGTTTCCCTCGTATTCGTCCCTTTTCCCTGTCCTAATCAAGGCTTCGGCGATAGTGCCGGCCTCCGGAAGCCGCTCTACTGTTGACCGCTGTCGCAGCGAAAGCTTCGTCGGTCCACAGAGCGCCACCGTTTGGCTGAAAGGTTACACAATCTGATGAATTGGCACATTTCAGCTTCTATGCAGCGGAAATCGCCATCGGGCTGTTCTTCCTACATGCGCGAGGGATAATCTACCGAGATCTCAAACTCGACAACGTCCTACTCGATCAGGACGGTCACATAAAAATCGCTGATTTCGGCATGTGCAAAGAAGGTATTCTCGGAGATACGACCACCAAAACGTTCTGTGGAACTCCAGACTACATCGCACCTGAAGTAAGTAGGGTTTTCACCTCTGATTCCGAACTCGAATTGAAATCCGTGCAGCTACACGTCTTGGGAGCAGCAGATATAGATATTCCGAAAAGCAGCAGCAGCAGCAGACTTCACACTGACTCGCGTCGGCGTGGAGTCATTCGAGGATCGACTCGCTCGACGGTACCTACATACATACATACGTTCGAGCCGTTGAATCTCCGACAAGATGTATGTTCCGGCGAAGCGGCCCGGAGCTCGAGGCAGTGAATGCGTCCGCTAGATACCCGTATCGCGATATTCACTGCGGCCGCGCGAGGCGTTCCGATTGAACCGGAGCAGCGATGTCTGGCGTTACGGCGTCGAGAATCTTGCGAGAGGAAGGGAAATCACAGAGAAGAAGAATTCGAATGAGATTGTGTAACAAAGCGTGACTGCTTTGCGTGTCGTCTCACCGCCCATCGGGGACAAGCTTTTATCTTCACAACTCCATGACCTGCCAGTCGGCTCCATCGACGTGAAGAGCTCGCTCTCACGAAGCCTCTCGTCGGAGCTCGACCACGTCGAGTGGGAAGATGAGCTCATGGGAATTCACAAGAACATCAATGGACCCGCGAGAAATGAGTTTTCAAAAGCCCAATATTCCACGTGCTGAGCGCAAGACACGACCGAGTGGAACCCCGAGAATTCCGTCAACGAGCTACGATTCGAGATGGACAGGTCCCTTGTCGAGGAGAATATGGAAAACAAGATTTCATCGTTTCGGTGCTCGAACTTTCGGGAAGGGATTTCGACTGCGTCAAGCCTCCGGATCTCGTCACCGAGGACAGCCCCCCGAAGAACTCAGTGTCTGATAGGGCAGCGCGACAGGACGGCATCCCGATCTCACTCATGGAAAAGAACCATGATCCTCACGCTTAACCGATGAAATCGTTGATAACGATGATTTTTGAGACCTTTTGCTCTTGGGACTGTGCCTTTGTACCCCTTCATACAGGGAGCCGGATCCTGTGACGACCTCAACAACTATACGTATACCTTCAGCCCTGCCATCGGTGAACAGCAAAGTCGTGAAGAAGGTTTTGTCGAGTCTAAAGCTGGACTTCCCCAACAATCACGAGCTTTTAGGCGTGAACCAAGGTGCTTCCCGACACAGAGGGAGCTGTGGAGACGCCGCCCACACCTTGATTCTCTTTGCGGCATGTACAAGGCTACTGCTCAATCGAATCAGAATCCTCGTCTTTGAGAGAAGCAATGCGTTGGGTGTCTGAGAACTTTTCTATCATGAGTACACTATCATGAATTGCACAGTTCACGGATACCCGACGAGGCACAGATTGGCCTAGAACCTCAGTGTTCCGAGAATGAATGAGGCCGTTCGATCAAAAATTGCATCCCCGAACTTCGTTCGTATACTCAATGAGCTTCCCCCGGTTGACGAAGAATTCCCGGAAATACCGAGTGCAACCAGGAAGGAGATTGTCATGATTGGGGAGCAGCTTGAGGCGTATTTGCGCTAATGTAAGAAACGAAGCAAAAGAGAGAGTACTTGCGATTATTTCATCGGGAATATTACCTCTCCTCCGGGACACAGAAAGACCGACGTCAACCATGAATGCGAGTGTCCATTTTCGGTGAGGACGTAGCACGGACTTTCAATGTCCCTAGCGAGCACCATATCCGGTGTTCGACTAAAGAGCGGCGAATGGAAGTTATCATTCCTCAAAAGAAAAAGAAATATGACGAGGTCGGGGCAGGGACAGGTGAATGACTTGACCGCATCACTGAGAAAGTCATTCGAAACGGAAGACATAAAGAAACTCCATTCGGCGTCCGCTGAACCTTATGTTATTCTTGGGCAAATAGCGGGTCGAGACTCCTCTCCTGAGGCGGTGGCGTCACCACTGCTGGCACCCCGGATGTGTTTCATACGAGCTAGGAGCGGTGATAAATGGCGCGTAGTGGAATGTGTTTTTCCTTTCGGTTGGGGGCGCTCGGAGAGCATCCGCCAAAGTGAGGTAAGGAGCCGAAGGTCTACGACTCAGTCGGAATATGTCCGGGGTACAGTCGAGAGATTGAGAGTCCCCGCGCTGTCTCCCCACTCGGGATTCTTTCGCCGCGCATCTCCTAGAGATGAATAAACACAGCCCTTCGGAATGCGGCTCGGGCTCGCCTAAAACTAAGAATGGCATCCATACTGCGACGTATCCCTCAGCCGGGCTGCTGTTGCTAGCGAATCGCCAAGCGGCGAGTTTCCGGAACAACCTATCAAAGAGGAGCAGGAATCGATCCCTTTTCCATCTCCAGGGAAATCAGACGATCCTGGAATCAAGTCCACGCTGCTCGAAAAAGAGCCTGTTCCCAAAGTTCAGTAATGTTCGGTTCGTCAAACGCTGCTCAGGATTCTCGATTGAGGAGGGAGAGAATCCTATTGGTCTTTCTTCATCATAATGCGGGGAAGATTCAGATAATTCCTGAAACGAGATTGTTTATTTTTTCCAGATCATCCTTTATCAGCCTTATGGGAAATCGGTGGATTGGTGGGCCTACGGTGTTCTTTTGTACGAAATGTTGGTTGGCCAGCCGCCGTTTGATGGCGAAGACGAAGAAGAACTTTTCGCCTCCATCACAGACCACAACGTTTCCTATCCCAAGGTGAGTCCGAATACAACTCCGATTCGCGGAAGATCCTCTTCCCGCTGAGATTCAGAGCAAATGAGCCAGACGTTCCAGTCCCCAGAGGTACCTACGCTTGCTGTAGTAGCTGATGAGACACGTCGATAGCGCCATTGGTTGGAGACCGAACTCCGCTGTAGAGAAGCTGATTCCTAATCTAATCTCCATCGGAATAGGCGCTATCGAAGGAAGCGAAGGAGATTTGTAAGGGTTTCCTGCAGAAGAACCCACAGAAACGGCTGGGCTGCGGGGCGCATTCGGGGGAAGAGGATGTCCGAAACCACCCGTTCTTCCGAAGAATCGACTGGCACAAAATTGAAAACCGTGAAGTACAGCCGCCCTTCAAGCCCAGAATCGTGAGTATTCCGCTATTCCCCATCCTCTGATTTGAGATAAGCATGTCCGGAATCTATGAGTTGGAATACTTGCGGAAACGCATGCTGCCTCGATGTGCTTAGCGCGTATAGAGCGTACCAACCTATGTTGCTTTTTCCGGTAGCCGTACCAAGTTGCCAGATGTCAGAAGAGTCCCTACGTAACAGTCGACGCAACTTCTGTTTAGAGAGAAGGTTTTCGTGCGAGTGTTTGACTTGACTGTGTTTACGAGTTTTGATTCGTGGCTTTCTCCGCTGTTTTTGTCTCGATGCTCCGTCGGATCGCATTCCTCTCCACTAGGTGACGAAAGTCGCCGCCTGGACCGCGCCCCCCTTTCTCCCCACCCACGCAATTTTGAGAGAGAATGCAATCCGTGATGTGGCAATTTTTTTTTGTCTTCCAGCTGCTTGCGTTTTGAGTAGTTGGCGAAGTTTTGAGATTTTTGAGATTTTTTTTTAGCGGAGTCTATGCTTTGTCAGTGTGGCATTTTGACGCGTAGTGAACACGCTTGTAATTTTTCTCGAGAACATCTTGATTGAAATCGATGGCTCCGACGCATCGATCCGAAACCTGCCATCCCCTTCCGCGTTCTCATCCGGTGGATACGACGCGGAACCCGGATTGAGAATTCCGCCTTTCCCACCGGAGTGGGTAAGGGTTCCCTTGCGGGAGCGGGGTGCTGAGTCGTAAAGTCCCGGGATGGAGCGCGACTGATTGGCGACTTTCCTGCGGGATCGATACGCTATTTTGTGGAAGGCTCGTGCAAGAGCGCATCAGCTTCCTCCGGCACTGGTGAGATTGACTCGTTCGTGCCCAGAGAGCATCGGGCTGCAGTTCTCGAAAACTCGGCGTCTCCCCGTAGGTTCAGAGGGAACCTTGATCTTCTCATCTGCGGGTACGATCTGTCTGAAGGAGCAACTTGGGAAGGTTCGCGCGCGCGTTTTCCAATCAAGAAAGTCTCTCAAACGATTGCTTACAGAACGACGCGCGAAAAGCGGAGAACTTCGACGAGCACTTCAGAAAAGCGGATGTTAAACTTAGCTGCGCGGACAAGCAGGTCATGGAGGCAGCGCAAGGGCTCGGGTTCGAAGGCTTCGACTATGTCAATCCCCACTTCGAAGGAGTGTCTCTATTCCCGAAGTGATGACCAAGGACAAATCGGTGGTCGACCTGGGAGTCATCTGAGCAATCTTCGAGTCAACCTGCTGGGTTATTCCGGTCTCAAGTCACCGAGTCGCTCGGTCAACGAATATTATTCCTCTACAGCTTCGTCGCCTTATCGCATCTTCGGTTTCCCTGTCTTCATACTCCCCATTCATTCCGTCGCGGTTTTCAAGTTCTGGTGTGATGAGATTCATTTGACAGTTCATTGAGTGCGAATTGTCCGTGGGCTGTTTGACCTTTGAGCTTCCTTCATCTTTGTCATCTCCTTTGTGCCATCACAGCGCCTCGGTCGTAGGGGAGAAATACTCATCAAGCTTTAGAGAATCGATTTGATCGGTGGATATGACGACGGACGGAAGGATGGACGGACGAAGAGAAGGGAAGGATGCCGCCCGACTTCTGAGTCGAACCTGCTCGCATGGGCTGAGAAGTCTAGTTCTCATTCAAGAAAGTTCTGCGCGGCGGGGCCGCTTGAGTCGAGCTCGAGCCCCGATGAGACAGAAGGGTCCTGGAGATTTGTTCGAAGACCTGCAGGAAGATTGCTTATCTAACCTGACGATAACGAGTCCTCTGAGTCTTGTTAGCGTACTGTCATCTCCATATCCGGTCTGAGGAAGCCCTCATTGAATAGCATTCGTGCGTCGATCTACAACCGGGAAGAGCAGACTTGTCCGGTGCTGTCCGGTCTTTGTCGCGAACGGATGCATTCCTCTCGAGTACATCAACTGTGGGCTTCTCCTGACGTGGGTCTGTTTTGGACCTGTCGGGTCGGGATTGAACGGTCTGTCGGTCGGAGAAGGAGAGGTCGGGCCACATCATTTCTTTCGCCGAATTCCTGGGAGGTTCGATCAATTCTTCAACCTCATCGAGCAAGAAGACCGAGAGCCGGGAGTGCGAGTTCGCTTATCAATCGAGGCTCACCATCGCGACGTAAGGCAAATACTTGAGGCAGAGAGGACCATACATGTCAATAGATAGGAAAATTTGAAAACTTCATCGTCGTTGTTTCTTCCGAGATAGTTCACGTGAGTATAGACACAGAGACTGTGTTGAATAAATCCCAGTTTCTCCCTCATTCCAAAAGCATGTCGCCATCGTTACGGAGGGCTCAGGGGAAAGTGAAATCTGATCGTGAAATCAGCACTCCCCCCAGAGACAAAGCTCGTCGCTCGACAGCGCAAGGTCAGAGCGCGGAAATCGGATTCCAGCAGATGTTCTCAAGAGTAGAGTTTCGGATGTGTAGCTAGAATTTAAGTCTAACAGTAGGTCTTGCAAAATTTGCTGCTGCATCCGCTTTGCACGAAACTACCACTCAGTCAGTCCCGACGGAAGGAAACCCAGAGAAGGAGCGCTGCTCGAAACGCTCCCAAATGCTCTGTCCGGGGATTCTGATTCGATCCATCGATCCCCTACTCGTTCTGAATTCTGGAGTCTCCCCTTAACTCGCATTTGAATTTCAGAAACATCGTAAGGATGTCTCGAATTTCGACAAACAGTTCACAAGTGAGAAGGTTGACCTAACGCCGACGGATAAGCTATTCATGATGAACCTCGATCAAACCGAATTCCAAGGATTCTCGTTTCTCAATCCGGAATACATCCAGCACATCTAAATTTTGATCATCTCTTCCTTCGTCATTTGTTACTGATGTCCACTGATGAACGGCCACTCTTTCTCGTCATCGAGACCCCTCGTTTCGGTGGGGCGATATCGCCGTCATCTTTTCATCCACTCGACAAGTGGGTGTGGAAAGAAGAAGCAGAGACACCCGACGCCCGAAGAATCGGGAACCATGCAGAAATGCGCTATTGCGAGCTAAGAACTGAATGCTGCCAGTTCAATTGCGTATCGCCCGCCGCTCATACAGCAAGCTAGGGCAAAGGGTTTTCATTGATTTGGACTGCCGCACCAAGAGTAATAATACTTGTGAGGAGACACGACAAGTGCCCGCCCTCAGTTGAGAGACCTCGCGCGTGCAAATGCAAGGTCTTCGACCGTATAGGCCGCTTACAAGTTCCCTACGAGGACCCCGGCGTAGAAAACCGTGTCAAACAAGCCATGTTGGGCGGCCGTCTAGCAGACTGTATTGAGATGCCAGAATGACCTTGCTTGGAGATTTCGCGAAATAAGCGATCCAGCCAGCCAGCGTAAAATTAGACATTTTAGTCGAAGGAACCCTCATTGTCGACTTCCAATTTCACAGTGAGGGTCACGCTTGTGGCGATGTGATCGCATCGGACTCAAATAATGTGATGAAAAGACATGCGTGGTCCCAACGAGCAGATAAACAAAGCCTAGACTTCCGAATGGGATTCGTTTATAGAAAATCTAGAACGGAAGGGAGGTCGAACAACGCATCTCTCCCCATCAGTATAGAATGGATCCGAATCCATTCAAGCCCTCGAGCTTGCCAGTCGCCGCGTACTCTCGCTTAATCCTCGGTTAACGCCGGAATTCCGGCCCCCTGGACTCAACCACCTCTCGCCTGTGATATCAACTCCGACACCTACTAACTAATATGCGGTACGACGGAGCCTCNCCGGTTCCCGTGTGCCAGCAGAAACCCTTGCTGTACATGCTGTACACAACCCGACCGCTGCATACCAAAGCTCTTATTCTCTATCCATCCTTCATTTCCTTTTATCCCTTTCCACTATGTCCCCGATGGGTCGACTTTCCCATCTACATACATACATAAGTCAGGGCTGGGGTAAGTTTCCCTAGAAGAGAGAAGAAACAGAGGCCGCTACTCGAGATTACTCATCTACCCACACTCTCACGGACTTGCTTAGATACTATGATGATGGTATTATGTACTTGCCTATACCCCTGATATGACTCACTGTTATTCACCCAATGCCTCGTAACAAGCTCATTCGACGAGGACGCCGAAGGTTGGGCGTAGAAACACATTCCCCGTCTCTGAAAGGATCTATACAATTCAACTAATATATGGTACGTTTCGATTGCTGTCCATCTGTCTATCGGAAGCCTTCTCCAGCTAATATATTCCCCATCTTCAAGAAAAGCCCCGAAACTATTCCAATCACCTGATTTCAACTTCCGCCTCGAGCTGAGTGCGTGTTTGTGTGGAGAGACTGAAATTGAGACCGATGGAGTCCCTTCGGTAGACGACCGTATAGGATGACTGACTGAGTATGGTGGTCTGGAGGGGTTCGCATTTAGCCAGAAAATGGGAAACTCAATCGATCGCTTCATGGAATGTCGAATATTAAAAAAGCTCAAACAACTCCCGGGTATCTCATTGAAACGTGTCGAAAAAAATTGGAGCGCTCTGGGATCTTCCCCTTATTCCTTCGAACTTCATGGACACTGTATGTATACCGGGGCGCGAAAATTTTTCTTGGTGTTCGAGACTATTGCGTTCGGTGATTGCCCTAGACTGTTGCTGCTGTTGGACTGACGGAATGATTCAGAAGTCTGTAACCTGGGCTTGGTCCGGTGTACAATAAATACACGTTTAAATACGTCTAGGTAGAATGACTAATAGAGTGGAACTCGTACTCGTGGAAAGTTCTGCTCGAGAGCCCTTTCAAGTACAGATTCAAGCGAATGCAGATGCTGGATGTGGACACCTGCATTTATAGAAGGATTAGTCGAAGTCCTCCCTACCGGACGCAGAATCGTCCTCAGATCCTTGAGTGCGTGTATGAGCGTGAGAATGCTGCCGCTGATGATGATGACGACATGAGCTTCGATGTGAGCTTGAACACGATGAGACCTCGCAGATGTTCGACACGATCGGAGCTCACGGAACCGGATAAGAAGGAAGCAAGTGGTCGGACCTAGAAGAGAAGAACTGGAATCGATGCAAGAACATTTACGTCTACTAGAATTTGATCGTCGAATTTTTTAGGAATTTTAGTGTAGCGCTTTCATAATTTCATTGAATTACCATCGATGTGTCAAACGATGAGCAGCGTCTGCTGAGCTCTCGTGTGTGTAATGTAGCCAAACTCGGGTGCGCGGCCAGGAACCGTGTCCTAAACTTAAGGGGTCTGTCTATTCTAAACTTTCCAATCCGGTCCCTAAGCGTCGATGGAGGGGGGGTCATGGCGGGTTTCCCCCATCCCTTCCCACTCCTGTAGATTCTCGAGACTCTAGCAGATATTTTCGCTCGTTATTCGATCTTGCTCTCTATCCCGAGTCATTCCTTCGCAAGTTAAGCTCATTGCATCTCAGCTCTCCTATTCGCCTCCAGACCCGAGCCGAAAATACTGTTCTCTGTGTGTTTCGCCGCTCTTGCGTTCGGCCGGCGGTTGAATGAGAAAGATAAGTGAGGAGGACGTGATCGATGTCGGAATGTCAATACTGAAGCGGCTTCAGATAGAGTCGACTCGACAGGCAGAAGCCGTGATCATACCGCGAATGTTGTTAATATTGAAGGATGATTATGATGACATCGATAGCGCTGTCCGGACTGAACGGGAATCGCTCCGGGAACAGCGGTGCGTATCAGTGCCGAAGAATGGATCTTAATGATTGGATATGGCTGATTTCTTCGAATTTTTATGCTGCCATCCGTACGTACCTCCAGACTCCATCCTTAAACTTCGTCCCATCGAATGAATTGAAGAGAGAAGTCCGGTATTACTCGTACCGTCGTCTTGAGCAACAGGCCATTACAGACTATTATTTCGTGTTTGTTCTCGTTTGAACGGTCCCATTGTATCCTACAATGACCACGTGATAGGAGTTTCCTTATCGCGAATAATGTTAAGCTATCATTGAGCTCATTGGATTTCTGAGTTCGAGACCATCCCTACGCCAAGGCCGATGTATTTCCGATATTTCTTCCACTAGCCGTTGACTTCCATCTGCAGGGTGGTGTGTGCAAGGTGAAACTATGCGGCGAAACTCACGTCGGAATTCACACCTCCGTCGAAATACCACAGGCGTCATTTTGCGCTAATCACATCAGACTCAGGTTTTTTACAGTCTGCCGAGTTTCGAGCGTACCGGTTCCCTAGCGTAGATATCACTTGCAGGTTCCATCTGCAGGCACCCACTCTGTACAATATATCGTCCACGACTCTATTATATGTATGGTTACGTTTTCGAGAAGTGGAAGGGAATCACGCCCGAGAGATAAACGAGGGAAACCAATAAACACCGCAGCTTCTTGTTTCAATCTCATGCATCTTGTTCTCTGTGTCACGCGAACATTCTCTCGACCGCATGTTCCCGGTTCATTTGCTCCGGCAGGTATGGAGGTGGGTATATGCGTGAACCCCATCTATGGCATAGCGAATCACGCTTCCTCATCGAGGAAACCCATGGAAGTGACCGCGGCGAGCAACAGCTGCCGGGAGAGCGCACCTCCGATATGGTCGCCACGGTCCGCGAGCTTGCGGTCGATATTTTTGCGAGATTCGATCCGATTCGGAGCCAATCGCCTTGAAGAGGGTCTTGAACCCGCTACCTCGTTCCGTGCAGCTTAACAGGAAACCGCTGTCTCTCTCACTATGAGCTCTTTCCGAGCATCCGGGAAATAATACATTGCATGCTGGACGGCTGGGTTAGATTTCCAGGTCAGCAGCGATTTCCAGGACGTACAATCACCTTCGCCGGAGCATAAACCCGTCCTCCTGTATGGGGAGCCAATGAGCATTCCGGAACATGAGAGGGTCTCGGAGCCATCCCTGGACAAACGCTTCTTGATTCTCTGTCGAAAACCGAGAAGATCCCGGAATCTAGATGTCAGAATATCAACCTCGATGGTTGCGTTCAGCCTCCTTGCTCATGCTTCTTAGGGTCTCCATGTCTCGGAGCTTCGGCGGGTTTCCTGGACTCCCATCGGATAAAAACTCAACTCAGAGGGATAAATTCTCCCTGAGATCGAGGTAGAGGTTTCCCTTGGAAAACAAGTCGAGCAGATTGGGAAATCACAGATCTAGCTTCTCTCTCGAAGTTTCGACTCTTTATTGCATTCTGTGCGCGCATATTCAGGAGAAAGCTATTTTGAGCATTTGGTCGACCGACAGCACCTTATCCGCGGATTTGTGTTTCTTCGAGCCCATTTCAGTTTCGAAAGCGGCAATTTTCTCCCATTGCTCGAAAGACACGTGTCGGACACCTGTAAGGACAGAAAGCTCATCCAGGACTCGGACCGAGACGGGTATTCCCGAGCAAAAGCTGCTCGCCGCGCTGCATCTGAGCGATCCTACTCCGCGTACCCTTTGATTTAAGTATCTGATGAACGATTAATTCGCTGCCTCCTCTTGGAGAGACCGAGTCGATGACCCCATTCGTCAAATCATCGAGCAGATTCGCACCCGTTTCGAAGCTACCGTTCATCGTGGAGACGATCACGCCGATCGGGCCTGTTTTCACCCAACCGCTGCAGTATACTCCTGGAAGACGTGAGGGGTTATATGAGTTGGGAGGAATTGTATCTCTCCTTCTATTCGCGGCGCGTTCGACCGACCGACAAATCATACACCCACCAGGCAATCCGCGGACACGTCCGGCATCGTTTTCAATGATTCCTCGTCTGGCATCGAAAGGAATATCGTTGTCCGGACATGAGCTCGAGTACCCGACACTTTTTATTGCCAAGCCCGTCGGGAGGGTTTCTTCGATGCCAGTCGGGACAGCTCGCTCGTCTTCCAGCCTATTTACGGCGAGCCTGATCGAGACCACCCTCTCTTTATTCGATTGATCTCCAAGGAACTCTAAGGGAGATCTGAGGAACTTGAGATCCCAGACCTTGGATGCTGCGGGACTCGCGGCAGAAACGTTCCTTTCGAGCGTTTGCAGCATAAGCTCGGTGAGCCGCTTCCGCGGACGTTGCATCTCTGCGGAGAAGCCGATAATTTGAAGCGCACTCGAAGGAAATCCAGAACGGGAGAGATCCGGTCGCGTATTCTCCTCCTGGAGATGGGATGGCTGAAGACTGACTTACTTGAAGTATCTATTCCGACAAAGTCATTCGCGTCGAGGAGAGAGCCGACGCCCTCAAGTTTCACGAGTTCTCTGAATTCTTTTATTGTGAAAGCCACTTGCAGGGGACCTCTTCGACCGATCAGACTGACTCGTTTTATTCGACTTCGACTCAGGGCGTCGAGAGCCTCCTCCGTGATGTCGGTAGTCTGCAATGAAGAGTCCGAGGGATAGGAAGAGGATTTGGAATGTTTCCTCCAGAGTGACGGAGTAAACGCGGGTGCAACCCGCATCGGTAGGGCGTCCCACAGCTCGCAGGTACAGCGGAAGGAATCTCCGGCTCGAAATCAGAGACCTACCTTCAACTTATCGATCGGTGCCAGAAGGATACGCGCGACGTCCAAAGCGACGTTCCCGTGCCCAACAATGGCGCAGTGATCAGCGTCGAAATTGATGTCCTGTGAGAAGAAGTTGCTAAATCAGTCATCACGAGAACGCAGGAGAAATGTTTCCGATTTTCGAGGCTCGAAAGGATAATTCTAATTCCGACTCGGTGCCGGAGCAGCGGATCGCGTCATATTCGGGAATCCTCTCCACTCCGACTTCGGTCCCGGGTTTTTCTTTTGCCGAGAAAGGTCAAGGTTCGGGTCATGCTCCGGTGCCGAGAGGAATAGAGTATGTCTGATAGCGAGGGTGGAACGTACCTCCGTTATAATTCTCGATGGATGTCCGTTGTACCAATTAACGAATTGTCTCGCTGAGAGCACGTATTTGAGATTCTCACCGGGAACTCCAAGAGTTCGCTCGTTATCAGCACCGTAGGTCTGCAGAAAGGAGGTCTCGTTAATTATGGTGGAAGTGTTTGGAGGCGCGCGCACCTTCTTCGTTCAATTCATCCTCTTCCAGGCGGAGTTCCAGGAAAATGCGGAGCACCAGGAGACCTTCCTGAAGGTCTGATGTACGACTGATGATGTACGAAAGCCTTCCGGAACTTACCAATACTATAGCATGATAGGCATCCCTGAATTGCTTGAAAGTGACGTCGCTGCCTAGTTTGACATTCCCGTAGTACCGACATCGCGGATTTTTGGCAACGGCCGTGAACGTGTTGATACAGTTTTTCACCTCGGGATGATCAGGAGCTACTCCATAACGCACAAGACCGAAAGGAACAGGCAACGATTCATAGATATCAACTTGCGTGTTCGGAGCCTAGAAAGACGCATTTGAGTATCGCAGGTAGGTGGAGAAAATAAATACCTCTCTAGGAAGTGGAGTCCAATAGAAAATGTCTCGAACCTTGAGGATCTGTTGCGCCGTATAGAAACCGGCCGCGCCCGCTCCTACTACGCAGACCTTCACGTTGCTGTTCTGCGGGAGAGTGGAGCTCGAAGAAAACAGACGCGCTATTCTACTCCCGGTGAACTGACGCATGTAGAACTGCGAAGCCATCGAGGGAACTGTGGAACACACAGAAGCCCGTCATACAGAGGAAAATCCCGGGAGCAGAGCAGCGATACGTGTGCGACGATCCTCGAGACTAGGGCTCGAGACCCCGGGGAACACGGTTTGGCAGGGGATCTTCGATCGGGCGAAATTTCCCTCGAAAAACGGGACGAGCTCGAAACAATCCCTGCATCCGAACCGTTCTCCCGGGGAATGTCCACGGTGCACCGAGATACCTAAAGGACGAGAAGACCATGACTCCCCGCAGGATAAGGGATCCGGACGAGCGGTATTTCCAAGCGTCCCGATAAGTATGAAAAGCCGGTAGTCTTTGATGCGGTAACCAAGTACATAATACAGCTGGCTCCCAGAGATCAGCTGATCGACTTGTCGGACGCGGGACGAGCTCCTCCCGAACTAACCTCGTCGATTGACACCACGAGGGACAGATCTCGGAGAGCGATGAAACTTCAGCGCATGTTCGGTCTATGCAAAAAATAGGTCGCGCTATCTTGGCAAGACGATACCGTCAAAACACAAATGAGACAACACGAACAACCTTCACTCGGGTTGTCTTTTGAACTTGGCGCGCAGTCGGGCTGTCTTGGGAAGGTAGCTCGCGGCGGCGGCGCGGCATGGATATCAGCTTGTAGATCCTCAGATCGTCTTCGCTTTCCAGCGGATCCAAACCCCAAATCCATAGACCACAGAGCGACTTTGTGTCGCACCGACTGCTTCCAAGGAGGCAGTCATGGACAGAACGCGAGGCGAGCTCACGCACGGCTCCTCTATGCAGGAGGATGAGGAGCGTTTGAATTTGCCGCCAAGCGAAAGCAATCGCCATATTTGAAAATTGTAATAAGAAGGCTCTACTCAACTCGCCACAACAACTCGACGGTGCTCTGTGAAGTTTCCTCGGATTGCGACGCAGGACACTATCGGGTGAGTGCGCGAAAAAAATCGCGGACTCTCGTCTCGATCCCGAGTCGACGGTTTTTCCGCGTTGAAATTCTGTTTACAGCGTTACGTCACTCCAGGGTTTGCTCGCACCGGTTATAGCCTGTTGCTTAATGCATGGTACCCAAGTTCAAGTTCTCTGTGATCCGTAGTCGGAATTGCGTAACTACGTCTGTTGGTCCATGGGGAGTACTTTCAGAAGAATGCCCGCGCCGACATGCCTATCGACGGAGCCCTTCTAAATTTAGATTGGGGTGTGGTGTGCGCTGCTCGAGTTTATTTTGAGATGTGCCAATCACCCCTGAGTGTGTGAGTGTGAGCCTTCGTCTCGCAGGCTCAGACGGAAGCTTCATTTGAAGTAGGAGCGATCCTCGCTGCACTACCCGGCGCGAATTCTCGTCCTCATAACTGTGAGTGTGTCGTCATGAGTCACGGTTAGGATTGCGTGTTTCGAGCGTGACTGTTGCGTTGCTGCGTAAAACCCGCTGTCCGAATCGTCAGTCGTTGGGAAGCCGCCCCGCTTGGATTTATGGATTCTCGCTCGAACGGGAATGTCCCTCGCCGATCCCCTTGGGGAACCGGTTTGTCGATCATCTCCGCTCCTCAGCTGGACCGGAATTCGGAATGTGAAGGAGCTTTTCGTTCTTGTCGTGAAATAGAACCGACCGAGAAGACGCAGAAGGTGTACGATGGAGCCGATCTCGGCTCTTGAGCTCCTCCTCCTGCGTCAGCTTTCGAGCGGCGTTATCCTTCCGCGCTGAATGAGATCGCGAAGGCTCGTAGAGGAAACAAAACTGTTTACGTAAAACCTTAAATGCCCAGTAACTCGCGCGAACGGTTCTTCCCGGAACTCTAGATGATCTAGATTCGATCGAGTCGCTCTCTGAGCTACCGTCAGACCATCGAAGTCATTCGGTTGACACCCTCGCCGGGTGGGCAGATTGTATGACACCTCGTCGTTTAGTCGAGCAGCCAGCGTGTCCTGGCTCTCCGTCTCACCGCCAGGCTGTTCTACTCTCAGCTCGTCAGTCATAGAGCTACTCGGGCAGGAACTAGCCGGTACTCGCTCGCTCATCCAGTTGGCCGTATCCACAGTTCATGCGTCGTGCCGCCTAATGCCAATACTGTCGTTATATGTAGATATCCGGGCTCATTATAGAAGTCAGGCCTCATGGCTTACGTCGAGCGATCGAATTCATGGCAGGGCGGGTAGGGTTTCTGTTCGACAGTGACGAAGCTGAACAATGTAACATCCTTCGAGAGGATCCCCGAATCGATCGCTTTAGCCCCGTTCGAGCCGCTTGAGCTTCCGACTGCTCGGCGGCTTCAGCTCAGCAATGTGACGGAAAGTAGCCGAGGAAGACTGATTAGTTTTAATTAAGCTGACTACTGGTCCCAGAATGATCGGTCCGACTCCGTCTGATGCCACTAATTCCGAGCGAGACAGTGGAATCTCATGGGCTCCTCGCCCACATCTGGATGGGGAAGAAATGGGTGTCGAACTGCCACGCTGCAAGCAACTCATGCCTTGGGCTAGGAGCTCAACTGATAAGGCTCATTTCTCTTCACGTTGCAGATCTTGGAGCCCCGTTCTACCGTATCGATTTATCGCCGCTCCAACCATGGCCGGAGGCGACGCCGAAACTCCTGTTATTGAGCATGAGGAGGAATCTACCTACAAACCACCTGCACAAAAGACATTGAAGGACATCGTCGAAGCTGACAAAGAAGACGAGAGTCTACTTAAGTACAAACAGGCCTTGTTAGGTCAGGCGCTGACAGGAGAGCAGATCATTGTTGAGCCGGAAAACCCAAAAAATGTGAGTTATTTCGGGACGCTTGACGTACCTATGCAGAGCAGTATTCTCGCCGTCAGAAGGTATCATATGGTAGCTTGAGCGAATGCGCCTAATGCTTTGAAGGCAATTACCTCATTCTCCTAGCGGGGACGCTCGATCGATAAATGTATTCCTCTCCCGATGAGGCGCGGCGTCTTTTTTGGGTGGTCCCCGTCGTGCTGTCAACAGACTCTGTCGACGGCTACCAAATGGGCTTTTTTGAAACGATGTTCGGGTTCCGCTTGGTTTCCGCCGACTGAGCTCAGTGACGTCATTCCGAACTGGGAAGCCCTTGATCGGGTCGACACTTCGCATGCTTCTCGCACAGAATCGAAGCCGAGCAGTCGTGAGAGATGAGTGCCAGATAGGTGTAACAGATCCCGGCTCGTGCCTTAGGCGAGTCAATCGATCTCGAGACTCGGCGTTTTCAAATCTTTGGAAACCGTCCAAATCTGCCTGAAGCCAGAAACGATCAACAGCTTTAAGCCACGCAGCTCTCTATCTGACACCGGATCCCGGGCTACCCATCCAAGCTACCTTGCGTTATTGACCTCTTAGATAATCTTTCCGGAAGCTCGGTAATGCCGGGCAGGTCGAATCCTCATTTATTGGGCCCTGCACCCTCCATATGCTGTCTGTGTAAGATGTGGGAGATTCATCAATGCTCGTGTCCTCGGACTTCTTAGAAATCACGACTTTCGAGTCTTGAAAGAAAGAATTACGAAGGTTCGCTGCGTGGTGCAGCGGATGATCCCCCTATCCGACCGAGAGGGATTCCCGTGAATCCAGCATTTATTCCGATGAACTTGCAGGTGATCGTTAAGCAGCTCGCTCTGGTCGTCGAGGGCCGTCCGGATGTGGTGCTCGATCTCACAACCGAACTCAAGGATTTGAAAAAGAAAACTTTCACCGTCAAAGAAGGAATCCTATACCAGATCCGCATCGATTTCTTTGTCCAACGAGAAATTGTGACCGGTTTGAAGTACGTGCAGAAGATCACGCGACTTGGAGCACAAGGTAAGGCGATAGATTCCCTCCTGCTGTCACCCTAATTCTCCCGTGAAAAGGATTGGGGGCTCCCGATTCTCCTTATCGTCATCGGAGAACACATATTAATGTTTCTCTTAACCGGAATACTCACAGTGGAGAAAATCAGCCAAATGGTCGGCAGTTACGCTCCGAAACAAGAACTCCAGTCGTATACGACACCTAAGGAAGAAATGCCGTCCGGGATGCTTGCCCGGGGAACTTACGGAGTGAAGTCACTCTTCACCGACGACGATCAACTCGAACATCTCAAGTGGGAGTGGAGCTTCGAGATCAAGAAGGACTGGGACTAGAGATGAGCGCGGCCTATCTTTTATTATTATTATTATTACTGAGTGAGGGCTGCCTTGTGCCAGGTAAAGAAAAATGAAGGTCAGAAAACGAATATTCTCGCAGGAGACGGAGAAGAGATACAGAATACCTTCGCAGACTTCCCACCATATGTCGATTTGTTATTCCCAAGCCGAGCGCCACACGGAGGCGTTTAGCCGGGCTCCTCGAATGGAGAGAGTTGCGTTGGCTCCGCAGTACAAAGAGGAAAAGCTCCCCCACACTTTTCTCGTTCCCTTCCCGAACGGTGATGAATTATGATTTCCATTCCGAAATTAGTGAATAAATCGGCTGTTTAGTTTTTGTCGAACAACCTGCGAGCGCCCTGTGTGCCAAAATGCTTTCTCGACTCTCGCTTTCGAACGTGAGCATTTTGAGGCTCTTATATATCAGACCCGATTGCCTTCTCCCTACGATTCCGGAGATGCTCGATGCGGACCAACGGAAAGTACATTCAGGGGTAATGCCTCCCGGAGCGATCAGCAATCAGTGCCAACAACGTATAGCGCGACTCCCTGAACTGTCGGTTCCCTTCGAACCTGAAGTAATTCACGGATCACACTCAACCTAATCGAGAAGCCTACATCGGCGCCGCATGAAGGAATATCTTCCTAGATGTTACACCTAAAGTTCAAACCTCACTCGGACGACCGAGCTCGCATCTTACACGCTCGCCGTGTTTCCAGTTCGGGAGCGGACCAGTACAGTATTCGCAGATAATTTCTCGGAGGCAAAATTCAAGTCGGATGCAAAATACTATCCCCTATGTCGAGTAATGATCGTCAGCCCCCAAGTGCTCGACGTGTCTTCCCCTCATCCCAGCAATAATTAATTTTTCATGGACCGTGCACAACATACGAGCACTCAAACCTGTCAGTGTATTTGTACGGTTTCCGACTCGTCCATGCGGAAATCGGCTTAAGTTCCTTGGCACGTACAAAAAGAAAGAGAGAAAACTAAAGATATCGGAATGTTCTCGAAGCCCAGCTCACCTGAGGTGAGCAGAAACTTTACCCGATAGGTTCTACTTATGAGCGTATATACAGTCTATTTGACCTACAACGATGTAAAACCTAAGGATCGATGAAATTATGCAGGCAGCGAATTGGCAGCACAAAGTCATCGAATCCGTGTTCGGGATTGCTGTGACTCGCCCTCTATTGTACCGTCGGCGAGCCATCATCATCATACGTTTACCCGCGAAATGATCGAATTCTCGGAAATGTTCGCTCGGAGATCCTCGAGACCGTCACGGACAAAGAAATACATATAGTGATTCAAGAATCGACGTAAGACTCCTCAATCACATAGATAGGCACGGGAAATCGCTTCCTCTGGCTCTATGTAGATCTCCAGCAGATCCATCTTCGTCTCAGCAGCGTTTCACGTGTACGCCCCGGGCCAATGCCGCGGTGGACCGATCTCTCTATCAAGCACTGGGAGTCGTTCGGTCCACTCCCCGGATGCCATCTCGGAAATTGTGGCGGAGTTCTTGACCAAAACCTCCCATTCATCGCAATCCCGCGTGGACCTCTTCCAGGAGAGCTTCCAGAGTCTTTTCGAGACTACTCACCAAGCTACGGAGAGATACGCCTGACTCCCAATAAGCTGAACCCCGCAGTGAAAAGTGCCAGCCTCGAAACGGAGAGTCCATTCCTAGGCCCCTTCGTTTATTGTAATTATCTAATATACGCTTTTCTAATTTACATTCGAATACCTCGGACAGGCACAAGAACACAACTGAATGCCACCGTTTCAGAGGACGTGCCCTCTCCCCGATCGAGAGTGCTCTCGATAATAATTCAGAAACCAAGTCAAACGTCAACGGCAAACTACGATGCGAAGCTCCTCCGCTCCATTGCGCTCGTTCCAGCAGCTGTAACAACGGGGTCACCCCCGACGCCATTATGAACGGGATCCGCTCAATGTCCGACTGATCTCGTCCGCTCGATTTTTTCTCCCTTGAGTGCATCGGCCGCGCAATTCAAGACGGCGCGTTCGGCTGCGACAAAAGTTCTCGGAGGGCTTCAGGTTCCGAGGTCGTTGAAGCTTGGCTGCTGGTGGACGAGGGGGCGATTGGTGATGTCGGTAGATGGTTGAATAACGGGTTGTCTGGCCGGAACGGCGAGGCGCTCTGCTGGCGTTGGAGGTGTTCAGGGGGACACGAAGAGGAGGAAACTTTGCGTAAGCGATCCGAGGCCGCCTCTGTGGGTAGCTTCAGGGGCGTCGACGGAGTGGACTCTTTTTCGATGTAGGCAATCAGCTGATTCGTGAAGGACTAGGAAGAATAATAAAATGAGTGTTAGCAAGGAACCGGGTCAATATCCGGGGCTCGGACACCCTCGAATCCTGATAAGAACCCGGAGGTTGTACCCACGTCGTTGGCGTCCTGACTCGCTGGTGGAGAGCTCCCAAAGATACCAAAAAGTCCCCTGGGCCCACTCGAGGATATTCGACGGTTTTCGTCCTCCGAGAACTCGAGATACCCGGTGATGCATCGCATGACGTCCGCCTTTTTATCGGGCGCGGCGGTGAAATATCCAAGTAACATGTTCTTGATGAGTTGCCTATGGGAAAATATTACATAATTTAAGAGTGTATCGGCTGGGATTTACCGAATCGAGACTTATCCGACTTATCCCGAGAAGTCCGAGTCCAACTCACTTGTCGACGCGATCGTCGGTGCCACCGGATTTCCGGCATTTCTCCAAGGCCCTCTGAAGCTCTTGCTCCTTCTCGTTCAATTTCAGCTGTATTCTGCTCAGAGCCGTGTTCTTGTCCTGGAGCTGCTGGCTCAGCTTCGACGTGGCCTTGACGGTCTCACTCATGTTATTCAGTGTCTCGTCTTTGGCGTTGAGAGCGGCCTCCAATTCGATTATACGATCGCTCAGTTTCTTCAGTTCGGATTCGGTGTGCTTCTGCGAGAGGAAAAGAATCGCCTTGGAATCACCCGTTGAGCTATGACCGCGATTCATCTTGCACTCCTCCTGCGCGACTCGACCAAAACGTATGGAATACAGCGGGGGGCGGCCTGTCTGCGCATTGCGGAACTCTGATGCGACCGACAAGACCGAAAACGCCATAGGCGAGAAAGCGTTTACATATTCGTTTGCTGATGAACCACAAGCGTATCTCCCAAGCGAATGAGCTCACCCTCATGGACTTCGTCCCGTTATCTTTCTCTGTTTGCATGTGTTCTAGGACAAGCTGAAGACTCGCCAGACTGACGGCACTTTGTTGAATTTGATCCTCCAGCGTAGAGACCTGATCCAAGGCCTCGTCCCTTTGGCTTAAAGCTTGGACCAACTCCGCTTCGAGCATCTCGGCTCTTTGAGAGGCTTGCGCTGTTATCGCCTGCGCCGAAGAATCGGTACTTCGTGCGCTTTCCTCGAGGACGGTTAGCTGCAATCCCAGAGACATGCGTTAGCTCGCTCATCGTGCGGTTATAAGGCATGCCCATATCCATTAACTCAGAGTGTCCTCAAAATAATAAAGGCGTTTCACAGTACACTAGGAGCGCAACGATTGTGCCTAAGATGCATGCTGAGCACGAATTTGTGTCATTCAACGAACCCTTTGCTGAAGTGCCTTCGTCCGTTGCTCGGACGAGACGGCTTCTCTGGTATACGTCTCTTCGACTTCGACAAGATGAGTCGTGAGCCTCTGGATTTCTAGTTTCATTTTCGTTTCGTTGTCGAGGAGTCTCTGGATTCTTTGACGAAGTTCATTGTTTTCCTCGTTTTTGTGCGCGAGCGTTCGAGAGATATTCTGGATCTCGTTCTCTAAGTTTGAGATCTGGAAATCAACGATTTTGAGCTCTGAGATCATGATCGGGAGCAGCGAGGGAGGGCTCGGGAAACAAATGGAAGTCCGCCTGAAAAAACACTGAGCCGATGTTTTACCTTATTTTGATACGGTGAAACATCAATCGATGGTGATTCAACTCTCTGCTGCATCAGCTGTTCCGTCTGCTGCTCCAGCAATCCCTTCTGGTGCTCTAGCAAGTCTCTCTGTTGCTGGAGTTGCAGCTCCGAACTCTCCTGTTCTTCCCTGACTCTTTGCTGATATTCCGCGAGCTGTTGCTCCCACTTAGTCCGAGCTAGTTTCTCATCGCTGATGGCTTGCATCAACACACCGAGTTTCGACTGGAGCTCGGCATTCTCCCGAGCCTTCTCGTTGAGAACGGTCAGCATCTGCTTCTTCTCATTCGCCAACTGCTCCAAACTCTGATCGCGGGATACTTTCACGATTTTCATAGCCTCAGCCTCCTGCTGCAAGCTGGTGATCTGGGCCAAGAGCTGCTGCTTATAATTCTCGGCCGTCTCCAACTCGTTGACAACACTGTCTCTACTATGCCGGAGGAGATCGAGCTCCTGCTCGCTGGTCTCCAATCGCTGTTTGAGCGACGCGATCTCCTCCGCAGTAGCGGCCTCGGCGGGAGGGGTCAAGCCTCGACTGGGGGAGCCCTCGAGATTGATAATTTTCATCTGGCACTCGATCAATTCTTTCTTCGACTTGTCAAGCTCGGCTCGGAGTTCTTGGATTCCACATTCCTGGTTCCGGATCTGCTCGCGGAGACGACCGCATTCGGCTGCATCTCCACTGTTTTGATCCTTGAGTTCTGAGATATACAACTTCAGGTTTTGATTTTCCTCCAGGAGAGCTTGTCTGGCATTCTCGCTCCGTAGAGCCTCGGACCTCATCTCTGCGAGAGCCTCCTCCGCCCGCGATTTGGTCTCTGCGACCAGTTTCTCCGCTTCGGCTCTCGCGTTATCCTTGAATGACTCGAACTCAGATTCGATAATTCGTCTAGACTCTCTCTCCTTCTCCAACAGGGCTTCCAACTCAGTTACGCGAGAAGAATCCACTGTCGTTTCCGAGTTCTTGCTGAGCTCGGCGATTTGAGCTTCGAGTTCGGCTTGACTCCTCATCGTTCTCTCGATCTTGGTTGACAGGGACGATTTATCGTCCGTGGCTTTCTTCAATTGACTTCGTACTTGCCTCAGTTCGCCCTCAACCTCGGACAGTCGCTGGAGCTCGTTCTCGAGGGCTGATTTTTCCGCCAAGATAGCCTTCCGTTGATCTTCCATCTGCTCGAGGCTTTCTGCGACAGAAACAGTCCTCTCCTCGAACCTCTGAACTTTTGAAGACAGCTGCTTCAGACCTTCACGAGCTTCTTCGATTCTCCCGGCGCTGAGATCACTTTCGCCCAGAAGCGTCGAAACTACGTCTTTACAAAAACCCTCATAGTCGTACCCGGGTTGCGCCGCGGGCTCGGCTGGAGCCTGAGCTGGGACTCCAGCTGAGCCCCGCGACTCCAGTTCGTTCTCGAGCATTTCATTCTCCTCCTGCATGGCATCGAGTTTGTTCTTCAGCAGAACGTTCTCGTGCTTCAAGCTGTCGATTTCGATCTTCAATTCTGTCACGGACGACAGTTGTCGTTGAGCTTCGTCCAGAGACTTCTGCAGCTCGACGACCTCATGAGAGCTCTCATCGAGCTTCTGTTTGGTGCTCCCTCCGTCGCCCCAATCGTCGTCCCAATTGTCTTCGAGATCGACTTCGTGATCGGCGGCTGGGGCACCGCCTTTCCGCAGAACGTTGAGTTCTGCTTCGGCTCGTTGAAGTTTGGCCTGAAGTTCGTCCCTGATAAAAATCATCTCACTTCGCTCTTCCTGATACTGCGAATCGAGCTGCAGCAGAGAATCCTGGAGCCGAGATCGCTCTTCCAGGAGAGCCTTGACGTCCTGCGGGATAGAGGCGAGAAGTTGGAAGCGTGACTAATATTTTCCCCGCCCGCTAGGAGCTGTATACATGGAAGTCGGCAAAGAAAAACAGATGATGATATCAAGCCAGTACTCACGATGGGTGCGTCAGATGGCAACGCATTCCCAGGCGCTGCAATCGAGGATATACCGTTAGGTCCTGCTCCATCTGTCAGGGTTTCTACGACAAACACTTTTCGACATCGTTATCAAACAGCGAGACAATTTCGCTCAACTCACTCGGATTGCCATCTTGGTCGAGACCGTGCGCAAAATTCTGAATTTGAGACGTGAGCTGATTGATCCACGACATGTTTCCGTCCTGTAATGGAACATTCATCCTGTATGTCGGGAGACTGTCCGGGATCGAATGGGAAAGTTTCGCCGTGAACACGGGCAAAGCAGTGCAGTAGCTCATCTTCAGCATGCTCGCGGGACTTCGGGGCTGCCAAACCGGCAGAACTACGTGTCAGGGAGGCAACTAGTTTGGGAAAGTGTTCCACTGCGCAAGGTCATAAATTTCGAGCCTCGATCCATCGAGAGTTGATATCAGTGTTCGGCTCCACACCCCTTTTTAGACCTAAAGAGTTTCGGGCTCCCGGAGGAAAAAACTTACCTTCTCCGTATCTCTAGAACGGGAGAATTCCCCACGAATGTCGCATGACAGCTCTGGCGTGCACAGTGAACAGAGACGACTATCAGCACACCGCGACGGAGTCCACGCACACGTCACTCTCCCACCTTCAATAATACGATCAGACCACGACTATTCTCGGCGGAAAGGAGACCATATGAACGGGGACCAGCTAAGATTATTAGTATGCTCTCTCTCTGTGTTCGGTGTTGCTCATACATGCCAGATACGCGACGCACGAGAAGCAGACGACGGCGGAGACTGACTCTCCCGTGTAGGCAGCAGCACCACACACTGGCTTTCGGCTTTCTGGCCCGCATTCCGACGGCGCGAGAGTATCCCCCTATAGCATGCATATGCTGGGGAGAGGCAACATTTCCTGAATCAATTGGTGCTAATGGGATTGATAGATGGCACTTTTGTTTCGAATTTGGGTTTAGAGGAGGAACACTGAGTGTTCCGCGACTCCTCCCCGTTCGACTCGGATTGAGCTAGGCTCGGAGCGGAGGTAGCGAATTGCCCGTTTGGGGCCTCGAAGAATTTGATTCGACAGGCCGCAGGGATCAGACGCGCCCCATGCTCTTCCTTCAGACATTTCGGAAGCGTGGAGATCCGGAGTTCGGAGGAGCGTTTCCGACTTCCTGCGGAACCGTTGGAAGCCAAGGAAGCCGTATGGTGAGGATATACTTGGATTCGTGAGCGCGCACTCGTGAGCTGACTCCGCAGTATGATGATTTTGTCAGTGACTTCCAATGCTGGCCTTTCTGCGGCGATCACATCATATTCTCCCAGTATCAAGTCAATCGAGCGCTAGAGAGACGCTTCTAACAGTGCCGATGTCGACTCAGTCGGAGTTTCCGTGGCTCGAGAGAGATTTGAATCTCGAATGCAATATGGCTCCTCCGCGCTTTGCCTCTTTTGCATGAATATGAGATTCCCGTTGGTCCTAAACCCGTGCATATACGGGCTGGGGTGGATAATCGCACCCTGAGGTGGTCGACGATACAGGATTCTCAGAAGCCTACCTGGTTTCTTGATAATTAGATCTCGGGGTCTGGAATCGAGTGAGTTATCCCCGGCTGAATACTTCAATCGATCCATGATGCTTCGAGATGGAAGCCCTCGGCGCGGATTTCCACATTTAACCTATTATCACTTCCACATTAGCTTCGGGCTCTCGATGCTGAGTCTCCTTCTCGATCGGGCTCGGCTACATGTGGAAATCCGGAATATTCAATTTTGGATATTCCAGATTTCTTTCCTGGGAAACCGAGAAGGAGAGGTGTACCATTACCTGGAAGAATCAGCTCGAGGGCTCCAGGAACAGTGATTTTTAGAGCTAGCTAGCTAGCTTTCCTCGCTGGATGAGGCGGAGGCCATCGCTTCCATCATCTCGAGCATCTTGAATTTGATTGAAACTCCTCTATTTACAGAGGTACTCTAATATACGTATGTATGTGCTTCTAATAGTGACTCCGCGAGCGAGTTGGCGAATGCGTTCTCGCCTACGGAGAATTCTGCTGCTTCCACTGGTTCAGAAATCAAGGACGCACGGGATGAAGTCGGTTGGATTCAGAGGTTTTCGTGGTGACTCGTCTCGACTAGTCTTCGGTCGGTCTAACATCAGCATCAAGATGTCAGAATCTTCTCAGAGGTTTCAGAATTCTGTCAAGCTCCACCTTTGGCGACAAGTCCGACTCGACTCGGAATGAGCTACCTGAGATCGCTACCTGTTCGCTGCTCGAAAGTCTGCTCTCAATGAAGCAGAGATCATCATCTTCGCAGATTCTGATTCTTTCCGGTCTGCTACCGGGGTAGGGGTGGTAGGTATAGGCAATCGTGTTCCTCGGAGACGAATAACAGAACCCTTTCCCTAGGGACCCCCTCCGTGGAGCGGTACATCCATTCGCTCATCCAGCGTTGTCCCGTACCGACTCCTTTGTCACCGCCTTCCGGTGGCGGCCCTTTCCGAAGATCCTACGTCGTCCAGTCTGAGCCCATACGGTATCACGCATAACCGAAACGACACGGGACACAGCATGGGCCTTCTATGCGTGTCTGGGATTGAGGGAATTCTTCGGACTGATCAATGTTCAGCTTTGAGATTTCAGAGCGATTATCTTGAATCAGTGGCAATGCTTATGTTTTGATTCCGCCATCGTTGTGTGATTCATAATTGTTAATGAAATTGTGTGTGTCGTCCCTACCGACGCCTCAGTGTCGTCCATCACCTCCGCTCTCTACAGTCGCTGCTGCACTCCGACTGCAAATAGCAGAAGCAGTCACAGCAGCCGCTTGAGCACCGTCTCAACATTCATAGGCAGCGCATCGGCAGCAGCATCAAAACGGAGGAGAATAAACGTAGAGATAGATAAATCGTGTGTGGCAGCGTGTCGTTCGTTTCCTAGTCGGGGCAAGTGAAGTAAGTAACGATATGCACATTGTGTGCCCTTTGGTAGATGTTGCAGCGCGACATGAGTGCTCTAGAAACGTTCAATCGCTCACGGAACTACCTGGAACGGGACGGAATCGAGACTGTGGATAAACGCTATTCGACGACTACCGTCTCCGCTCGAACCTGTTGCAGAGAATGCCGGGATGCGCGCGGACTTCCTTCCGCTCTGAGCTGTTGTTTCCCCTTGCGGATCAACCCGGCAACGTCGGCTCAAGTCTAGTTCTAGAGAATGACGACTCTCGAGTTCCTCGGCGCCTCCGTGAGATCTAAACGTCGATAGCGGTCTGACGTTTGATGATGTTCGAATCCGGAGGCTCCGAATGCGGTTGCAGATAGTGATCTGGATATGTAATATTCTACTTCCAGAAACCTGTGAAGTGTACTGCCTAAAAATTCATCCCTTAGAGTTCACGAATTCGCCCGCCGTTCGTGAGTCCCATGGTGACTCTCGAATGGCGGTTTTGAAGTACGACTTGTCATCCTTCTATCGAGCTACCTCGACGACAGCAGTGGCGGAGGCGGCAGTGACACCAACAACGTCGTCATAGACAGACACATATTTAGAGTTGGAAACTCCGCTTCTGCGTTATGAGATATTCGGTCGGTACTCAGCGTGGAGTCTGCACTGGAACATTCGGAATTGCAAACAGATCGGTGGCAGAGCCATACATAGTGTCCCCATCCGACCGAGTCATTACGTCGTTATAATCCGGAATCGAGCTTTAGGGAATCAATTTTTCGATCTGATCTCGATCCGCGGATAATTTGAGCGGCAGATAAGACAAGTATTCGATTGTCCCTCGGTTCCCGTAAGAGTCGGAGCTAAAACACGCTCGTGATGTCTGTGCGCGAATGACTTCGTCGACTGCTCGAAGGGGACAGAGCCAAAGGGAGGAGGAAGACGCCAAATTAGGTGATTCAAGAATAGTTTCACGTATCGGATAATTGATATCTATGGAAGGGGACGCACTTTCGGCATAGTGCTCGTGTTCGCACGATTTGTGATTTGTCGGTAGAGGTTCCCACCACTCGGTGTATCGTATCGCTCGGGCACGAGATTAGATACTGTCGATTTTTGGTGCGTTCTGGTGCTGAAAAAAACTTGTCGGCGGTGTTTTGTCGAGAGAGTCCTAACTATGAACTCCAAGTTCGCTCTCTGTGCTTTTGAGTTCGATGAAGTTGGTGTTTTGGGACCCCTTCATGTTCTTCCGAGGGCAATCTGATACCATTGTGAAGGACTCGAAGAGGCCGTGAAGAATTGTCCAATATTAGCGACCGACTGCGACATCCGAGAAGATCGTGATAGGAGCTATATAGAGACCCGAGGTTCCCCAGAAATGTGCTGAATACGGGTCCGTTTTTCGTTATCGAGGATTCGTATCTCGAATTTTCTAAACATGATCTCACCTGTCAAGCATCATGATCCGTCCGATTTGGTCAGACTTCCATGCGTCAAACAAACGTCATTTGGAATCGAATGATCTGATCTCCAAGCCCGCTATCCGAAATCATCGAGGGACTCTCAGAATATATCCGCGTTGAAACTCTCTCTCGAAGCTCAATACGATCAGATGGATATTCAGATTCGATTGATTTCCGTTGACCAATCCCCGCCTTATTCTCGTGGTATAGAGGAAGGCACAGGGAACGCGAAAGGAAAATGTCTCACGAGCGATCTTCATCGATCAAATCCGATTCGCGCTGCGCTTAGATCCCAGTATGAAAATCGTAATCTCCGGGAAGATACGGCGATCTACTGGAAGAAACGTCCCTGGCCGTCACCTTCAGGCTCACTCCTTAAGCGAATCGTTGCTCGGCTGATAGGTCTAGGTACCGACCTCGAATAGTTCAACTAGCGATCCCGAGTTTATATCTAAGCATGCTTTGCTGTTCTTCTCCTTTCAGCTCAAACCGTGAGCCTGCGTTATACGAGGCCGCGACCGATGGTAGCTAAGGACCACGGTGGCTGTAGGCCCCGCACCCCTCGCTGGTGATGATCTCTGAGGGCAACATCTTCCCTTCGCGGATATCCCGCTGGTACTACCGGCATGGATTGCGATGTGCGTCGCATCCACATCGGTTTTTAGCTTTTACGGCTCTGCTTGTCTTGATCTGCGGTTATCCACTGTGGCGTCTGAGTACGACGGGTAGTCACCACTTCGACGAAGGAGGATCGGATCCTGCTCCAGAATGGTTTCGGGGACCTCCTCTGGCATTTGTACAGCAGGTTATTATAGTTCCAATCTTCAGCCAGGCGAGCTGCCTCGCAGTGAGATCATGAGTTGAAATGACATTTCGAATAATTATCCTTCGGAGAGCGTCTCGCGATCGAACGTCTGAAGTTTTCTTCGCGAATTGCAGATAATTGTTCGTAGCGCCGTTTACCCATGGGATTCGGAGGACACCAATTTAGCGGATGCCTTCCGGGCGCCTTTGTATACATCATTCAAAGTTTCGGAGATCGTGAGTGCAGGGTGCCCTCGCGAGTTTTTAGTCGAGGAGTCCGAATATGAATATTCTGGGTGATAAGAACGAGGGCAAGAAAGCCGAGACTGTCCCCCTGTTAGCGTGCGGAAAAGTTCACGGTATCGGTCTCACGTAAGATTTCCGCTTCAGGTGACCAATCATCAGTGTTCGAGCACATCCAATAATACTCAGAGACGAATTTCGCTTCACGATCTTTGCCTGCAGGTTAGTCGAATTTCCGTGCCTCATTCCGGGCAGAAAAAGCAAGGCTGGTGGCCCGTTGCTTGGGTGATTGCACCGGTGTCTGCTATCTGGCTGTCGTAGCCCCTGGCTATCAGCCGCTTGCCGACATTGCTCACGCTTTTCTTCTCCGTATGGACACGTCGCGGACCCTCTGGCGATTCTAGTTTTTCGACAAAGATAGGTGATCCCTGCTGCCTGGCCGTCTTTTCAGGTTCAAGAGAGCTCTTCCGGCTCGTCGGGTCTCCTGCCGCAGTACTCCTGTCTGGTGGTCTCGCCTGCGCTGATCTGGCACCGAGACCCACAGCGATTCCTCCAAGATGCTCATATCTTCGACAGTTTGTTCGGTCTGAGAGAAACCAAAGAACTCTTCTTCGGCCTGCCTTGGAGAGAAACGGGTCTAAGGAAAAGTTCCGATAAGAACCAACATCGGGTCCTGAGCTATGCCGTTTCGCTGCTGCTCGAAAAATATGACCGGAATTACATAAGCTCTCTGGAGAACGCTCTGGCGAAGCAATTTCCGCTCAGCCGCGTGAACAACAGCAACAGCACGAGGTAAATAACGAGAATATCTCCGGGAAATCGACTCCATCCCTCAGGAACTCTCAATAATGCTCTCTCCCTTCATCCCAAATTTCGCATTGTGGAAATAAGAATTCATATTTTCTCAATTTTCACTTCAAGGTCGACCCACAACAGTCATCTGCATTTCCGTTACGTGCATCATCTCGCAGAATTCCTTCCATTGACGGTCGTGTACATGACAATGACTTTTTACGTTTATTTCTCGCTGAGTAAAGTAGCGCTCCTACGGAGTAAATTCCTCTTGGCGTCTGCCACTGTCGGCAATGTGATACTTTCGACTATTATCGCCATCGGTGAGTTAGTCCTTCAAGCAGCCAGACCCTGAAAGTCTGGGTATCAATTTTTTTTTTAATAAGCATCGACTTCCCGGCTGTGGAGGGGGTAGCTCGTTCGCATCTGTTGTACGAGTTCGGCTCTCCCCAGGAATATGTTTGTGGATTCGGTTGAACCCGACGCTGAACGGCAATCCCTTGGTGAGTCCAAGGGCGAGTCCTTGCGTCGCATCTGAAATCTTGCCCTACCTTCTTGTGATCATCGGGCTCGAGAACAGTCTGTGCATAACAAACTCTGTGGTCAACTGCACCCCCAGAGGTAAGTCCGACTCCTTCAAATCCGATGAACAGGTTCGGAAAGTCGAAAATATCCATCATGTCCGGAATTCACAGACGGGGGTCCTGAACTTTTCTCTGATTCCAGGGGCAAAAATACATCTAGCGCAAGGATTGTCCCGAGAAGGATGGTCCATAGTGAAAACACTGCTCACGGAACTGTCGGTGTTGACCGTGGCATTTTTCACGTTCGTGCCCTCGATCCAGGAATTTTGTCTGTATGCCCTAATCGGCGTCGTCACGGACTATGTCTTGCAACACGTTTTTTTCGCAACTCTCTTGTCACTGGACCTACAGAGGAAGGAGAAAGACGATGAGCGCACTCTCGTCCCTAACCCGCGGAACCACAATCGAATGGCTAGGGTCTTCGCAGGGCCCACGCAGAGCAGCGTTCTTGACAAAGTACCCCGCAGGTTGCAGTTATTGTACATCTGGACGCGGTGAGTACCGAAATATCGGAATTCGTGCTTTCAGTCCTCTCTGAACAGCGTTGAGGGTTGGCTGACTCCCCGGTCCGATACTTAATTTCGGCCGGACGATTTCAGGTTCCGTTTCGTCCAACGGAGTTTGATGGCCGTCATGATAGTCTGGATCGTCCTGCTCGTCCAACATTCTGGAATCATAGAGTCATTCCGGCCCTTACCTCACAACTTCACCTCAAACCTCAACCTAATGAGTGTCCAGGACATCAAAGACAAGCTCAGTCTGACGCTACCGAAGGAGTTCTTCAAAAGATTCGAGGGCCTGCACCAAGATCGGGAGGCCGATCAACCCTTCAGCGAATTCGCTGCGTTGCGCAATCAAAAGAGCTCCTGGAAGGGTGAGTCTCTATCCGAAACCGCTATGGAGTCACTGAGAGAAATCAGCCGAGCGACCGAGGTCGTTGAGCTTCTGATTGAATTCAATTCGATTTTTCTCGGTCCGCAGATCTACCGACTTTGCACTGGACAGCGTTGTTCGGTTTCTACAATATGTCCTTATGGGGTCGATATATAACGGTTCTGCCGGAGATCCACGTCGCCATCCCGATCGCGCGAACAGAAGCGGTCAAGTTCAGGCATCACGAGGACACCTCATTCCAAGTGAGTAAACGAATTTTCTCGAATCAGTGAATACGCCGAACATTTCGATGCGATCTGAAAAAAGGGTTATTGGGAGTGCCGAGGGGAGCCATTCCAGCGGGGAATTCTCCTGCGAGCGACGCTGAAATCATTCTTCCGTTCCAGTTCTACCCGGAATGGTCGCTCCTGCCGGAACCGAACGAGTCACTGGAGGCCCTAGCCCGGCCTCTGTTTATTATACTCCTTGTACCCACATTTTTGTTCATTCTGTATTTGTTGATAGTTCTGTATCGTTGTGTGTGTACTCGAAACTACGCTCAATGGCGAGCCCAATGGCATACCAGAGGCTTCGAAAGCGCGATGGTGTCACCGGACGACGTCAAAGCCGGTCCGCTATTCCACGAGACATTTCCGCTCCGACTCAGCGGGCATTCGCTGCCGATAACCGAGATCGCCTGCAGCGAATACAAAAATCTGGTCGTGTCGGCAAGCGTCGACGGAGAAATACGCGTCTGGGACGGGACCAATGGGGGCTGTTTGCAGGTCATCAAGAACCATGACGACGACAGGGTATGGGCCATGACCTGTTACGGGAACTGGCTCATTATCTCAGCAGTTCGAGGGGGTTCAGGGAGGCTGGAGCTGTGGCATGCTCTCGAGAGCAAAAAATATTCGACTGTGGATTGCGATAGTCCCGTCACCTCGATCGCGACTCAAGGCAGACTAATCATGGCGGCTTCGATGTCAGGGCAGCTTTCGTCGTTCGTTGTCGATATGGACAAGCACCGAAAAACGTGTCTGGCCATCAATGGAGGGGTAACGGCCCACAGTAACCCAGTGACAGCTCTGTGTTTCCCCGAGGGTTCACATGTTCTCACAGGGTCGCTCGATCGATTGGTGAAAGTATTCTCGGCCGACGAGCTAGCGTGCGTGTACACGTTGCACGGGCACGGGGGCGCCATCTCGGGACTGTGTGCTGATGAGCGTCAAGCGGTTTCGGCTTGCCTTCACGGCATGCTCTGCTTGTGGGATCTGCTCACCGGGACATGTATCTACTCATTGAATGCTCACAAGGGCTCTATATCCTCAGTTCGCATAAGTGCACTGTATGTAATCAGCTGCTCGGAGACCGAAGGACGTTTCCGCGTATGGGAACGAACTCAAGGTCATCTGCTCCACTCGCGGCAGGTCCGTTGCCGGCAGATGGAACTCCTGTCCGATGACGTTCTGGTCACCTGCGCCGATGACATTCTACTGTGGGACGTGCATTGCGCCGAACAAATCCAAATGGTGCAACTGAGTGGCGAGGTGGGAATCCGGGTGTTGAGGAAAGCTCATGGTAACCTCATTTGCGACTCGGGTCATGATCTCTGCGTAGTTTTCTTCCCGGCGTTGACCAACAAAATGGAGTGATCAACCCCACTAGCCGTAGCGGATAGCAGGGTAACCGACGGTGTATGTACATCACTCACTCACTCACGTCTGTACTGTGTATACTGTTGCGATATGACGAGACCGAGCGTGCTTGTGCAATAATTATTGAATTTTTAAATTGACGTTGAACTTCTCCGAGGGCCCCCGGCTGCTTTCCCCGCTGGAGATGTTGTCATTCTCTGGGAGCGAAACTTTCGATTGTACCGAAGGCTCTGGCAGTCTCGAATGGTCCTCACGCTAGCTAAGTCAAAAAAGAAAGCTTCGAACTCAACAGATGTGACGAAGTAAGCCGCTGCACTTCCATTCACTGTGTATACTTGTACCAGATATACAAATGTTTGTAAATACAGTCTCGGAAAGCTCATGGTTCAGATTAAATATATACTTTGGTATCAGAATAAATATCGAGGCTAAGCTTATTGCAGTCGTGCAGGTTTTCGCCATCTTATCGGACTGTCCTGTCCATCCATGGCGTTCCCTTATGGAGAGAGAGAAGTCGATGCTGAGCAACTCGGAAAGTCACGATCCCGGGGAAAAAGTCATTTTTCTTCTCCCGTGGGGATGCATGGAGCTACGAGTCGGTGCGAAATGGATCGGAGCATTCCACATTGTCGAAGTGTTTGTTCCTGATGGGAGATGGATCTTCGAAGATTTGACGAAATATCACAGAATCTCTCCCTCTGAGTGAAATCGTCCTCTCGATCTTCGAAATCTTCAGTTTGAAGCATAGTGGTCCTCGATAGAGATGGGATCCTTGAAGTGACCTCTATTCGATATGGGGGCCAAAGGGCTTCTGCTGGAATATTCCTCCGCCGCGCCGAAAACCGTCTCCTCTTGGTGATTCGTGCTCCTAATACCACTATTCGCGTGCAGTAAACGACTATAAGTCTCTGATGTTTCCGGAGATTCCTCTGACGAGGATCTCCTCCAGATTGAAGAAACGGAAGTAGATGGAGCCATTCGCAACGCCTCGAATCAATGTCCTATTCAATATCTTGCGGGTTGTTCCCCGTCGTCGCGATGTCTTGATTAAAGGGATGGTTCATCATGAGGAGAACGGAAAGTTGATCCTGGATCTGGGACTGTGACGCTTCGGAGCACCAGGTCCCTCCAAAGATTTTTCAAGTTAAGGTCGACTTCCTCCTATTTTCCCAGAAAACTCATGCTGAGTTCAGGCTCATTATACCGGGTTTCGCCACGGCGGAGTTCGATTTGGACCTTTCCGGTCTTGGCACATTCGTCTGTGTCGCAGGATTTCTGCAGAAACGACGCCGGCGGGACGATCGGAGCTCGACGAGATCAATCGGCAAACGTTTCCGTCCGGCTCATCTTCTACGGCCCGAATCGAGAATATCAGTTGATTTCATTCTGATCGTGTCTCCCATACTCTCCCAGCTGAACTTTGGTATTTGATTGACGATTTGTCTCGGGCTCCGGATTTCCCCCTATGTCGCTCGTAGAAGTTCTCCGAGATTGTCTATTCCGCTCTCCGGATGTCTCAAACAGCAAGAGACGATTGGCGAAACGATGAACACGGATTTAACCATCTCATCAACCGCATCCTACGCTAATATTCACTTGTCATTCTCCGTGAGATTAAATGGTGATTCTGTTGTAGATTCGACGATTTAGAGAGAAGTAGTAGGTATATGAATATGTATCGCCCGCGCATCAAGGGAACGTCGAATCTACGCAAGTTTTACCGAAAAGTCTCGTGGTCGAAGGAATGAACTCAATCATCTAATTAGATCATTACCTGTTCCATAGGAACCTTGCGTTGGGATCTCGCGTCGCTGTAGTCAATCGAACGGAGCAGCTACAAAATGAGTCGGGGCTCAGCAATGGTGCAGGTCGAAAGAGAGAGTGAGGCAGAGCAGAAAACTTTCCTGATTCCTCTGGTCGGGACTATTCGACCAGTGGTAGTGAACGTACTCGCCGGAACTTATCCATATGAATGCCCGTCACTAAGGTTGAAGATATTAACGCTAAGAGAAAGCTTGCTCTTCAAAAAATGATTACGCAGACCGTACCGAGCAGCGAGCTTCTGGACGAAAATCGATCAAGAGGATGATTCTTGGACCCGCCAACTTCAGACACCGTCCTGTCGCTCCCGCCGGCTCGGAGAAGTCCTTTTCAGATGTTCCGCGACGGATCCGTAAGGAAAACTCGCTCTCTATCATGGGCATTGTTAGTATCACCAGGGAATATCGGAGGAATTCAGTCCCGAGAGACTCGACATCTGCGTGATTCTGCTTGACGAATCCTCTCGTTCTGCGACAGTGTACATTGTGCATGTGATTCGAGCCGGGGAAATTTCGCTCTTTGGCAGCCGAGCACTCAGTTGAGTTTACCGCCCCGAAAGCTCCGTTCATGACCTTTGGAGCTGTTGAATTCCGACTCGGCATTCGAGAGTCGTCCTAGCTTTGCTCGTTGTTGATTCCGTTGCATAGTCGACTCGATCCCGGCTCAGACCTACCTGCCAGATGGATTTCAAACTCTTCTTTGCCGCTCACGCGACGATTGAGGCCCCCGGTAGCACCTCCGTGGGCTCGTTCGGTGCAAATGTTATCCTTGCCTACAGCGACCGCCGATGCAGACTTCGAATGGTTTCTGATCGGGAGACAAGGTAATGATATTATGCACAATGTTTGATGAGCCGGAGTATTCAGAGTGTAGTGACTTCCCAGCCTCCAGGTGTATCTCGGCCGTCGAGCTTCTTGCGAGACATGCTACATGGAAGACTTTGGCTACACTGAGCGACCTCGCTCCGAACAGGGGGGTTCCCGGACCAAAAACCCAGATTATGTTGACTGAGTCCTTTATGTTTGAACTTTTCTCGACAGCCGTTGAACGAACGCTGCGATTCGGATCGACAATGCCCCAGTCACTGAGCTGCTCTTGGGAACAGGATGAAGCTCGATTCGTCCCGCCACAAATCGACAATCTCTCGTATCCCTGAAGCGACGACGTTTTCTCTGTTATTTTCGCCCAGCTGAGATGCTGCGATTCATACGGGTCGCCTAGGAATTCGACTTGGGTAATTCTTCTCCGCTCCCAGTCTCCAACAAAATTCTATCCAGATTGGGTGAGAGTCACTAAGCAGAACTCCAAGATCGAGATACTACAGTTCTCCCCAGGAGGCTCGTCCTTAATTCTGCAAGACTCTACCAATCCTCCTCTGATCGAGGAGAATCGAGACCTGCTGATCTGGATCATCCGAGCGGAGAATCTGATACTACTGCAAGGCATAAGACAGCGGAGTGCGACCCTCGCAGAACTTGGAATTCTCAGCGCGTGCCGACAAATAAGCTTTCGAGGACGGTTGGACCACGGGATACGCAGGGAGGCATCATGGAATTGGCAGCTCATCAGTGTCACGTTTTCTTGAGCCGAATTCGTCCTTGACGTGCATTCTGCTCGTCACGGATATCAGTGGAAATCGCTGATACATTTAATGAATCTGAAAGTGAATGAGCCTTACGACACACGTCACAACCTTCGATGCCGCAGGCGACATCCCAGACGCATGTTCCCGAGCATTCGGAATGGACTGCGATATTCCCGCCAGCAGTTGACCTAAGACAAGTCTGCATGGGAAAACATTCAGAAAGAGTTCACGAGGGACAATGGAAGAAGAGAGTTTCGATGATTTCCATGATTGTGACCCGATGCTAAAACTTTCGACAGAACGAGAATTGAGCAGATCAAGACTCGAATCTTTCGATCGGGTATGCGGGAAATTTCTGCTAGCTTCTTCTCCCTTTTCCTTCGAGCAGCTCCGATAGTTTCTCTTCCGGTACTGTGCCCGGATCTTGCTGCGGGGATTGAATTGAACACATTTCAGATTACAATAATTGATACTACAGACACAAATCGGAGATCGGGAACTCAGAGACGTCTCGGCCCAGCGGGTGGCTTCGTCGACTTTCTCTATCTCAGCCTGATAGACAATGGTCCGTCCATAAGCCGTCCGATCCGAACCGAGAAACCATTCCCGGAGACCTGGAAGATCTCAAGCATGCGTGAGCAGATTGAGATGGAAAACGTATGCGGGTGGGTCAAGGCCGGCACCTGCATGCTCCGCTGAGAGCCAGGATCGCGGAATTGGCCCCCGAACGTTCCACGGAATGGAATGCGCATAGGCAAGTGGCGAGGGCGACACGTTGAGCACTCGAGTATGATGAATTGTATGCTCGCAAAAATCGCTATTAATTCCCACCAACGATGATTCGTTGAGGAAATTGGCGAGCTACGGCGAGTACGGCGCGACTTGATTTCAAGATATCAGCTTCCGTTTCCGGCCTTGAAGACTTTGCTTCTCAGATTTCGTTCCCACCGAGCAATCGAGGACTCTGATCGCGACATCTTAATATTATTCCTTTCCCTACCCCCGGATCACAGCGAGCAAACCCACTCTGTCGGGGTCTCATAGATACGCCACTGTTCAGGATGTCGGTCTAAAGTCTTCCGAATATTTATATGTGAACGGAGTCATCGACGGAGATCTTGAGAAGGATGGATCCCGATCTCTCCTTCGCCGTTTCCGATGGGATTCACGATAGACCATGAGGACGTCTCATGGCTCATGGCGCGTTTCTCACTCTCGGCCGAGGGACGAAGCGATAGAATTTCCGACGTCTTGGGTGAATCAACAGATACCCTATACTCTATACAACAGTCCCGCCGACAGATCGGGCGACTGTTATTGTACCGGCTCTCCGTCTTGTAGGAATAGGCCTTTGTTTCGTTGTTTCCAACAATCATTCTAGCTCGCTCCCTCCGGGGCAGCGTACTTCCGCGATCTCTTCGTCTTTCTCGACGTCTCTTCGTTCAGTTTGCAATCGGTGAGCACAGGCGGCTCCGAATGTGCGCATGAACGAGTTCTGCTCGAATAGTCCAATACATATGGCGCAGAACCGGTTCCCGGTTTCAGGTTTTCGATGATCCATCAGCAGTTTCGGAATATAAATTGCCGATAGCGAGAGCTTTCATGTGACCAAACTCATGTCAAGGTCTGCGCCGAAAGGATACGGACAACATAATAGGAAGACGACCGTTAGTAATCAGAAGGGAATTATTTTGATGCAGTTTCGATGAATGACTCTCGACAATGTTCCTCCGGAATCCGATGAGTCTAGCCTATCAATCGATATCGGGCGCCCCGACAAGGGTCGTCTCTATGCCTAGGGGAACGACCTACTGAAGAATTCCATCAGCGCAGCGGAGAGGTCCACCACGAATTTTTAAGCCCACTCTGATGCTAGGCCCCGAGTTTTGAGCGCCCGCCATAGTTGTGATTCCTGTCTAACCCCGAAACAGTCCGAATGAGTCGCGACATCGTCGTTCTGCACGGTCCACTCACGGTAGAGCCTGATTCTTGCTGGGAGAGGAGCTCACGAAGGCGAATTGAGCTGCTCGGGATGTCTCCGCAGCCCAATGACATAGTTCAGAACGGAAGAGCGGCACGCGATGAGGTTCGAAGGAACTCCTACTGACGATTTTCTCTTGAGTGGATTCTTCGAAAGAATTAGAATGTTCGCGGAGAATTCTTCGGTTGAATGTAGTACGGGAACACGAATCCTAGCTTCTGAATGAGAGGTGCCACGGAATCGTCGCTGAATTGAGCTTTGTGAGCGCCCTCTCTGTCCTTAACCAAAATGGCCGTATTCGGGATACAGTTAGACCTCCGCCCAAAGAACACGGCCATAGGTCTCTTGGTTTGAAAAAAATCATAAACGCGATCATCTCTCATGAGTCATGAGGAACCGAGCATTCTGCTTTTTTTTTTGATAGCTTGCCCTTCGGATGTGACTCGCTTATAGTTCAGGAACCTCTGCGCGAGTCCTCGGAGTTTTTTTCGGATAAATAAAATGAGCTCGATTGACTGACGGTTAGTCTCGTCTTCTGATCTGATGAGAGACATGCCCCATATAGAGGCCCAACCATATTCTCAAATCGCCTTTCTTCTCCTCGTAAGCCCAATCCAGAATGGACCGGCATACTCCAATAAAACGGAAGGTTTTCCTCCGAATGAGGAGAATCCCCCAGACTTGGAAGTCTCGGAATCACCCTCTCTGCGTCGACACCGACACAGACCCTTCTGCTCGGTCGGTAACCTGAGCCCCCGAGCTCGAGAGACGGCGCGGTGCCAGCGTGGCTCATTTTTTTCTGACAAGGATGGGGGATCGAAATGTGATCTGTGCAGTCTTCTCGAGCATCTCGATATGTTCCCCTTTTCAGAGTGTTATTCGCGCGGAAATACACACGAGGTTGGCGCGCCTCAGCCGCCGCAACCGCTGCAAAGAGGCTCCGTTGTGATGCGCCCTTTCCCGCGCGGCCGACGCTGTCCTCTCCGCCGAGTCTCTCTCAAATCCCCTCGACCCTCGGGTTGTCATGACACGAAGAACGCTATAGGGACCGTAGGGGCTGTGAAGTCCAGTTCGTCTACCCGCCTACAGCACGCCTACATACGGATTAGTCGCAGGCGTGTGATCTCTCGGAATCCTGGCGGCAGTGAGTAGGCCGGGCGGTCCACCAGTATTTCTCTTTGTGCAAATGCACGGTGTCGCATAAAGTTCGGAACCGGCGTTCATCGACGACCACGAACGAAGTACGATGCTGTACAACGGTGTTAGTGAAGTGTGATCTTGTGCCATACGCTCCACGATGCGGATTAGGATTATCTCGACTTTGACTTGGCTGCTCGCATTGTGCGCGAGTTCAGCCAGAACGACCGAGCTTCTCGGCAGCGAACTCACGTCGCCCGACCTCAGGTGAGTTGCTGCTAAGAACGTCACATGCATGTACTTCTCTTTCGGAATAAATGAGCGCCTTTCCCGGTGTTCCACAGAAGAAAATCATTTCTTACGGGAGGATCTCCCAAGTCTCGGAAGTTGATTATTTTGCTCCATGGGAGTCTGTCTGTGTGAAGCCAATCAAGACGCTCGGATTTCAAGCTAGGAGACTAGCCTCTGAGAAAATCCGAGAGTCCTAGGTGTTTTTTGTTTGTTTTCTCTGGTCCGCGCTGTTCGTCAGTCAAAATAGATCACGTTACATCGAAGACTCTCGAGATCTCGGCCTGACTGCGCGGAACTTAACGGCAGAATCTAAACGAGCGGCAACTTGAGATGACGACGTTCTATGCATGAGCAATGCGAACTCTGCGGCGGCACGGCTCAGGTTCGAGCGGTGCGAGTAGACGAGGAACCCGAGTTGCTTTGTCCTCTGGAAGACGGTCGAGGGATGACATTCGCGAATTCCGTGCCAAAGCCACCTAATTTGACCTGTCCACTGATGGGGCTGATCCTTTCCGGCGAAGTAAGGTGGATTGTCGGCGGCGGATTCTCAATGTGCAGCCAAGGAAACCTTCGTTAAGGGAACTCTGATCATTGATGAGACAAAGGGATCGGCAATCGTCGATTAACCGTGTAAACGGTAGCTTCCCTCCGGTCAGACTGCTTTCCGCCCAGTCGCTGAGTCAAGTTATCAGAGTGCCAGTGTCCGACTTGTGAGGTAGACCCGAGTTCCCTCTCGCTAAGAGACGTTCAGTGTCATTGCCACACGCGGCTCTCCCCGACCTCCCCCGCTCTGCATCGAAAAAACGATAAAATATCGCCTATAAACGATAAAATATGATGCATCTTTCGATACAGCTCTAAACGAGAGGACGCATGAGCACCCCAGATCAAGTTCAGAAATCCATCGTCCGGGTATGGATTCTTTCTAGAGAAAATCTTTCGCGCGGAGATTCATTCCTGCGCACGCATGGATGTCTTCATCTACCGTCTGAGTGCCTCCGTCCGGAATTTTCCGGTTCTCTGGGAAGACTTGGGGACGCCGGCGTCCCTCACTCAGTGGCACTCAAACGGATCCCTATTTCGATGTGAGTAGTAGATTTCCCACTCCCAACCCCTTGGGCTCCTGTTCTCGCGTTTCTGATCAGATCGTTCCGGCGAGCGGCCTGGCTCAGGGAATCGCATCCTCGTCTCCGAATGGTCCCAGGATTCGAGTCGAAGAGTTCTAGAAGGCTCCCGCCCACCCGCGAACGTCGTCGTGATTCTTCTAGCTCCCATGCTCTCGCGGAGTGCTCATGGGAATCGAATCTCGTCGCGGGGAAAAAGCCGCTTCCCCTTCTAGATCGAGAGGCGGATAGCTCGACTCAGCTCGAGGATTAGCCGCTCGATTCCGGGAGGAGAAGTTCGGCCGAGCATTACATTAGCGATTCCTCTTGAAGAGCGAACGGTCGAAGCCACGATTCGATGACAAACGGCTCACATGACTACCGGCGCTAAGTGGATGAAATCTAGTCAGACGGCGATTCCCACAGAAAATATCGAACCAGAATCACGCTCATTGAGACGCCTTACGTAACAGCAAATCAACGGCAGCAAAACGTCTGCGAGGCAATCGGCTTCCGGCTAACTTGTAAATAAAAGCACTGGATGTAATTTCCACGAATTTTCTCGTTGCGCAAGGGAACTTCATTTTCGCGGCACTCTCTGGCACCGACGGAGTGAGTCGGACGCCTCGGATCATTCTAATCGATTACCGGAACGACCCAGACCCTAATGCCTTGTGTGTGGAGCGGCTCACACTAAAACTTCGGGTAGACTTCGGTAGAGTTCGTGGATTGCTTCGCCGAGGGAACGAAGCAGAGACTAATTTGAGGACTTCTCATACCTATTTTCTCGGGAAATCTTATCCGGAGAGACTCTCGCGGCTCTTTGTGAAATATATTTATGACGCACAAAGTGACGTATGAGACAAATTCCTTTTTATAGAAGCTGCCGGGAGCCTTCTGACACCTGTTGGCACGCTTGACCCTCCCCACTCCTCTCCCTCTCCCGGAAAAGTTCGCGCGTACAGGACGCAAGGAACACATACGGAGATGTATGACGTCATCATTCCCTTCCCCGCTTCCCATATGCCGGATCAAGCTGGATCCTAGGAGCCAATTTGAGGCCTATCGGCTCACCTGGAAGAAATTATTTCCGTTTCCCCGTTCAAACCTCTCAAGTCGTCAGAAAGCGATTGAATCTCGTCTCAGATTTCCCATGGGGAGTTGACCTCGTCCCAGAACCCGCTGCGCCGGCAACCTGTGCGGTTCGAGCTACCATAGAATCACGGGTGTCGAGAAATACGCGGGTCTGTCACCGCTCGTACCGCCGTGTCTCCTGAACAGCCCGGACCGCTTCAGCTTGACGAAGTCTCAGGCCACAAGTGTAGTCCCCGACGCTCCAAGGGAACATTCTGAAAAATTTGCTTGGAGCTCGCGCACGAGGAATAATCACTGATTGATTTGGAGCATTCGTGTGCCGGATCCATGATTATCAGGATTTCATCGGACGAACGAGTCTTCTACAGATGCGGATACTTGGTATGGAGAATTCTCCTTTCTGGCACTAATCTTCTGCACACCCTTTCCTCTACGAGACTTGATCGACGACTCTTTGATCGAAGGAGGAACTCGAGGGGGAAGACCGATTTCGGTGCCGGTCCGGACGTCTGCGCATTCGATTCAGATATCTGGCTGGGGAGAGTCTTGCCCACTGTTCATTCGGGATGACACTTCCGAGCAAGACGGAATCCGCGAGACGTTTATGCGAGGATACGATCACCCGTCAGTCCGGCGTGCGAACGGTATTAATATGTAGCGCATGATCGAATAGTTTGCCGTTAATCGACCCGGATACTCACGTGGCTACCGAGATCGCAGACCTAGGGATACGGATGAGATTCCATTGCGCATTCGTGAGGGACAACACGACGGGAATAGGCAATCCATTGAGGTGAAGTCGGCTGTTCTGAATATCCGTATCGCTCCTCGGAATCGTGTTGAGGTGGCGCAAGATAAGCGATTGAGATACGACACGGGAATTCGGTGTACCGTCGCTCAGACGTCGGATCATCAATTATTGAATTATCTGGACAGGCCACTCCAGCCGGGAGAGAGCGCCTCTACCCGACTCACACCTTACAATAAATTACCTAAGCTGAATGCCTCGTGACTCTCTTGTGATCGACATCCCTTCTCGAAGGCTTAGGTCCGCTGCTGATTCCTGAGTGAAAAGTTCCTTATGTTCCAGGAGCCAAGGATCGGCCTTACCCGAAGAAGAAGGATCCCACGGTGGCATCGCGCTACCGACCCATTCTTCGGGTCCCCAGGTGAGACATGCTCCGCGACAGCGAGCCATATCCGGTAGGACGACGAGGAACAAGTCCACTGAGCACTTTCCAACGTCTATCAGGTCACCCCCCTCCATCCGGGATCGAACGATCACGAACACCATGAGAGACCGACCACGTTCATTATTGTGGCGCTGGATTTCGAGCACGTCAGCGCCCCATTCATAATTGTCGTCTGGATCATCATCGCTGGACTAGCGAAAATCGGTGAGTACATTCAATGTGTCTTCCGTATTTCTAATCTGAGACGAAAAATCTCAGCGAGAGCCGTCGTCGGTCCGTAGAATCCTTGAACATCCGATATATGACAGTAATCTATCACGTCTCCAAGAAACAGAAGCGAGGGTGCTGAATGAGAATAAAAACACTTCGATTAACTGATAACGTCGGGTGCGGTAATTTATTCAACACCAAGAGCTGCCGGGAACTCCATTATTGTCAATTGTCATTCAACACAAATCGGACCGAGCTCCTGGCCATACGCGCAGGGTTGCAGCCTAGTAGTATGCGAAATTGACTCGGTCCAGGAAAAAACTACGGAATCCAGGCGCGATTCGTGGGGCGGCTATTAGAGAGAGGAAGGGGAGGGGTGGGGGTACCGCTCGGAAACCCCCATGTCTTCGGTCTCAGGAAGAGATTCTCCACCTGTCGTATGCCACTCGGTTGAAGGGGACGTCTCGCGGGAAAAACGCGAAAATGTATCACTTGCGAACTGTATTGGCGATTTTCGAGCTCCGGCTCCACGTGATCTTGACCTCAGAGGAGCCGACATGGCTTGAGTGTCGCGTCGTGAGCCGATCCGCCGGCCGTTGTAAATTGAAAAAAATATTTATCACGCCAAATGAAATCCGTTCGTCTTTTCCGGTGGCTCGGCGGAAGGCCCAGAAATGTGGCCATGCCCATAGCGTTGCCGCAGGGCAGGGTGTTCGTCGTCGATGAAGCCGCGCCGCATTACCAAAAGCACACAGGCAGACTTTCATAAAGAGCAGCACTCGTAAAATGCACTCATAGGCGAACGAATAAACATCTCTCGAGTGAGTTCCGGACACGTCGGCTGAACAACAATGATATCGAACAAATACCTAGTACTATGAGAAGTCAACGCGCATGAATCATTACAAAATGAGCATATCCAATCTGGCGATGCAAGGTCGACAAGATCCGTTCCGAGTTTTTTTCTTCGGTTCTCGTTCACACTTTTTTCTACCATTCCTTGCGTAGCGTTACACGCGAGTTGTTCCGAAGCTATTCCAAGCGCTCAGCGTTAATACAATTTGTGCGAGGAGCCACTTCACGGAAGCACATCACAACAGCACAGGTACCGAGTCACGTCGAAACATGAACTCGACAATAAAAAAAAAGACTCCAGATCTCAAAGTGGAATTTGAGCGTCGAACGTTGATCCCAATCAGTTTCGACTTCGATGAGGGCGACCCCCATGAGCGGTAGACTTCTGAAAAACTCCTCCAAAGAGACAATTCGGTCATATCGATCCTCCTCCGATTCGTGCCGATGAGTAGCCGAATGCGGGCGAGGCCGACGCTGCCGGGAATCTGATTCGAATCGGACGGGAAAGATCCGCGAAAAGTAGTTCGTTTGGACAACCTTTCAAGGTCGACACTCGTGTTTGCTGACAGCATTCGACGGATTCTCAGCTATTGACGCGAATCGTTGTGGTGCGTTTTAGAGCCGAGTGTGACCGACGTTCCGACTCCGTGCCGCAGTTTCCGCATACGTTCGCACGTCTGCCTAGCAAGAATTTCGCAAGAATTCCCCATCTCGAGATTGACTCGCGCAACTTATCCTAGTCGAAATCGAGCAGCAGACAGCGGAGTTGGGGGCGCGATCCACGCGAGGGAAATATATATTCGGGTCGATTCCGAAGGTTCGACAACCCCGAGAATCCCCAGAAGGAGCGATATTCTCCTTCCGAAAACATGCAAGGTCCATTTGCGCAGAGTCGAGTGACTTCTCACCATGAGCTTCCGACTGCGACGACGCTCCCTCTCTCTTCGCCTCGTGAGGACGGCTTTTCTTCCCTCCGCTTCTCCATCACTCATATGAGGGGTGCGCGGATCCGCGTTGAAAGGAAAGCTGATCTGGGGGAAATTCTAATGTGGCCGGCTGTAATTAGCGGAATCGGGATACGGCAATCACACTTTTGGCGATTTTCGTTGCCCATCGGCAGCATCAGAAACCTTCGGCGTCGTTTTCAAGAGCGCTCTCTTTGATTTTTCCTCGAAGCTACTTTCTGCCTCCCTGTTGGATCTTCTTATATCAGATTCGAGCACCAGAGGAAGCTTGGGATTCCTCCCGGCAGCAAATCCGTTCTGAACCCCACGCCGCCGACCTACCTTACCGCATTTAGACTATTATGCTCTGTGGTTAGTCCCCGTTAACAGAAATTTACGTCATCCAGAACGAATGAGCTGATGCGGGTTGTTGTCATCATTATTTTTGGATCTCCGTCCGGTGCTCCCGTCTGGACTGGATTGAACGAAACCGTACGATTTGGTTCACGTCAAGAAACAAGCGAACGTTGACTTTCAGCCGGCGAGTCAGGATTTGTCACATTGCTTGGGTTACCTTCATTTTCCATTTCCGGTGGTTTTTCGGCGTGAACAGTGAAACTTCCTTAGAAAGCTCGCTCGATCATTCGCCTCCCTGCCTGCCTGCGCACGCGGCCACACGTCTTTCGACTGGGTTCGTTTGTCTCGACTATTCTGTTACTCCCAGAGAATTAGTTTTTACTGCACATATCCCCACAATAAGGTTTTTCACTAAGTCAGTGCTCGGCGGCTCTATGTCTACAGAGGTGCAAAAATATCGCGGGGGAACTATGCCGTCAATTCTGTCGCGCGAGCTAACTACTCGGAAGCTGCGGAAGCGTACTCGCTCCTGAAGAGGACTCCGTCCCGGGACTCGAATCGATCCCTCGACCTTCATAGAGGAAATATTTTCGTCGACGGTGGCGAAATAGCATCGATTGGGACGGCGCAGTCGATGACGCTTATGACGTCGATCATCGACGCCATTTGGCGCGTAAAAGCTCTGGGCTACCACCAGCACAATTAGGAAGAGCCCCCGGCCTCTTAACTAAGTCACTGAGCGGCCCCCCTCGCGGTAGCTAGACTGGTTACGTCGAGAATCGAATTCCTCTGCTCGCCTCAGGAAGTTGACGCTTCTTGACGCACCTTTTGTGACTGTTGTCGTGTTTTTGTCTCGTCGCTCCTGCTGTAGCTCTCACTGGCCGTGTCTGACTGTAAGTGAGGCATCAACTGACAACCGGTGGGAGGCTCGACGGCTTCTTCAGTGGGATAGTTACCAGAAGATATGCGGACTTGGGAGTTCGCCGGAATCGGAGCAGAGAAGCTTCGACGAATGGGTAGAGATTCATCTTATCAAATTATTCGGATCATCGTGACCAGGCGACAGCTCCATGTTCCGTGGGTCTTCCGAAGCTTGGGTGAGGAGGCAAGGAGGCTTCCTTCGACCATTTCGTCTCGAGAGTCTTTTTCTTCGAGAGCCATAGGGGGATTTCGCGGACCGCGCATTCATCGAGGTGGCTATCTCGCTCTCTCTACATACTTTGCTTATCGACTACTTGTAGCTCTTCCTGGAAGAATCCACATGGATCGATGGGATGGAGCTCGAGCCGATTCCCCACCGAGGTCCCACGCACGTCGATCTGATCGAATCGAGGCCAAAGAGTCGGCCAAGAAAATTCAATCTCGATAGGATTTTTATTGTTGAAAAGCATAGCGACGGATTACGAAAGCAAGGCGGCGATGCGATATTTCTTCCGCACAATTATGAGCCAGTGATTATCCATCAACTCTCTCACCATCGTATTCGGAATATGCTTCGACTGACTTAAGCACGTGATTGAAAAACGCCGATGGCGACGACCGACGTCAATTTTCGTAGACGACAGTGACGAATGCCGTCGGTGACTGGCTGGCTGGCTGTGGTCGGACTGACTGAGCTGGAAGTGCTGAGGCCTTCGGAGCGTCACTTACGGCGACGACCACAATGAATGCTTTCGGAGTTTTGGTCAGGTTAAAAATCGTCAGAAAAAACGGAACAAGCACTCACTACTCGACGCTGGTGCAAGCGGTGCCCTGAAGAGACTGAAGACCCTAAGTGAAGTCTAAACGAGTCAAGCTGAAGAAGCTTCGGTTCGCTCTTCATTACGGTCCCGCAGAACTGGAACCTAGTCTCGCCGAAGCGAGCCGAAAATGACACAAGCTTCCCTTCGTGCCGTTCGGATCCGAATAACAATATGTCTCTTTGAGAAGGTGAGAGACGGAATCGAATAGCAAACACGTCCCGCAAAAGCACAGGGAAAACAAAGCGATTATTCGATTCAGAGCGTCTGGGTCGCGAGCTGCAAGCATCTCTATAAAACAATAAATAAAAATATCCGAAAAGTTTGCTCAGAGCTTCGTACGGCTCCAAGTTCCAATGCACGAACAGAGAAGGAATCTCCGTGTAGAGTTTCGATCCCTCAGGGATTCTCGCTTGGAAATTCGAATTCCAGTAGCGGTAGTGGCAAAAAATGGTGTGTCACAGCCTCCCCGATGGAAAGCTCCTCAGTAAATCGGCGGATCGTAAACGACCAAGGATAACGCTATCTCTTCGTGGGCCATAACGTTTTCAGTTTGGGCTATGGGTAGCACGACGATTCGCTGTTCATCTTCGGGAAGACTGTCTATTCCTGTTGTCATACTCGCCGCAGTAAGGGAGAAAAATTTCCGTGTTTACGAGCTGAGGGTCTCCAGCAAACTCGGGGGCTCCCGAGACCAAATTTTTCGCGGGCCAGACCCGAAACAGTTTCCAGGATCTGTTCAGCGTAAGGGCTCGATCATTTCTCGAAAAATGAAGTCATGCTCCGTATCAGAAGATGGAATGGAAAAGAGCTCATGCCTGCAGACTGGATGCCAAGAAATTGACAGAACATACGAGTCATTGGATAATGGGGCGATACGTCCGAATCTAAGAGAGAAGTATTCTGTGTGCTTCAAGGTTCCCATCGAGCTCGTCTGACCGTGTTCTGATCAGGAGCGGGTCGATGGGTATTTACCGATTCATGTGAATATCACTGCATCGATACGGCGTGCTTCGCGATCAACTCCTGGTTTGGTTCAAGAGCGTCTGATCTGTCTGGATTCCCAAATTTCCCCCTGCAGTGTGGCGGGTGTCGTTCGGGAGAATTAATGTTCATTCCGTTATTAACCACTTCGGTAGAAACAGAAAACGAGCACGTGACGTCATACGGTCCGGTGCGATAACAGCCCCGGGCGTACACTTCAGGGTCTGATGGAAGATCGGAAACCGCTTTTAGAAGTAGACTTCCTGTTTCTTCTCGCACGCTGAGAACACAATGCATTGACCGAGAGGGCAATCGCAAGCAGTCATTATCGATTAATTACCCCGAAAGAATCCACGCCACGGCTTCTTCTGAAAAAAGATAGTCGCACAGAAGCGCTCGGGTCCTCAAGTTTCCTTTCTGGATGACGGTCGACCGCGTTGACACCCGAACGTATTCATGGAACTTGACGGGTGTGATGCAAAGGTCGGTTTTGCGTTAAGACATCGATCGGATATGTCGGGAAGGCTAACCGCAGACAAAGACAAGACTCCTGTGTCACTGAAATCCGAGTTTGACAGACGGGTTCGTGAATTGGCAGAAATGAGCTAAGCGTAGTAGTTTTCTGTCCACGAGCTGGAGCCACTGAGGACCTGCTTACAGAAATTATTCGCAAGTGCAAAGACAAGGTCGGATGCTCGGATAAGCGCTCAATCGAGGCTCACACGACGCTCCAGGAAGTCTCTCAATGAGAATGAGCAGCGCAAACGGCTTCGTCGAGCCGTCTAGCGCCTCCGTCGTGTGCTCTCTCTCGGGCGATCAGCTCGTGCGTGAGCACGACTCGAACCCCAGGTCGGTCTTGTCGATGTCAACATTTCGGAAACATAATGTGGAAGGTGGGGACCTCGTACTCGACCGTCTTCCTGGAGCTCTGGCCACGATTCCCCCCCGCCCCCGGATCGAATCCCGCTCTTGATATCGATCTTCGGCACTTCGAAAGAGGCAGGGGGATATTGTAAGTTTTTCCTTGTCCTTGAACTATCGCGGGGGCTCTCTGAGCCGAAGAGCAGACCCCGTCGCAAGCTCCCACTCAGCCCACCGGTGTAGCCAAGACGGCGCCATTGATAACTACGACCCGCAGTGTGTATCACTCGGAGGAACGGCAGCAAGTGACAATGACAACGCCTCCACATAGCGCTGAGGATTCATCCCGTGGAACGAGCGCTTTTACGGAAGCTATTTCACAATCATCGGTCGGCTCGTCATCATTTATTTATTTCTGCATTCTCCTGACTCATTAAATCACTGAGAGCGATACTCCTCCCGGAGTTTTCTCCGCGCTAGATATTGGCAAACAACGAGCTCCCTTAACCTGAGATGCTCCCGAAGGATGTATGCACAGTAAACAAATTTTCGCGATCGGACGAGCTCGTCTACTTGTGTCGTAAACGACCCGTGTATACCGCCGTACAACGCCAGTAGAACTATTTCAAGTCTATATTTACATAAGAACTTACAGCCTCCTCCGGGGTTCGCTGTTATCCAACCGGGCACATGGGAAAGGCTGCGCGTCGATTCGTTGCAAAGCTGGTAGCCGGCGCGAAGTCCGAATAACCTACGCCCGATTGAATCAGTCGACTGCTGGAAACTTCCGCGGTTATGGAATATTTTGAGTGGACGGGATTTCGACGAAATTCGTCGGTATCCACAATAATCGTCGGGACTTCGGAAGTCACGCCCACATTCTTTCCGTGTCTCACGAGGGGACTCTCCAAAAATACCTTTGCTCTCTCCTCAGTTCGACTGAAACAGCATGTCGTATGTCCGCCAGAGCAGCGCAGCTATCCGGGAACCAGAGTGAGGAGACCGGGGACAGGATTCCGTGACTCAGGCTGACGTTGGAGAGCGTGAAAGCTTTGAGGTCCTTCCCCGAGATTGAACTTTGTTCCAGATTAGGCGTTTCAGTTCAGGTTTAATGTCCTAATCCGGAAGATGCGACGGAGAAAACGAAAGCCTCACATGTGGAATCTGTTCCTCGTCGGGGACATTGATTAGCTGTCACTCGTGAACTATCTCATGATGCGCATTCTATCGAAAATCAGAGGATTTCGCCGAAAAACTTACAATTGTTAGACAGATCAGAGCCGTGAGAAAACTCGGGCGACTCCAGAAATTCACCGTGGAGGAACAACGGGATTGATCCCATTCGCCCGTATGATTCTATTCTCTCTCTGATTCTCTTACCAGAAAGTTGCAAGACGAGCGATCAATCAAATCGATCGGACGAACGCAATCTCGGGACATTTTCCTGTTCTTTTAGTCTTTCAGAGTTGACGGACTGGCGTCTGCCACACATCAGAAACTTCGCGTTCCTTCCTGATCTGTCGGATCCTAACGACTCAGTGGGTTCCAGTAATTCACGATACCAATCTACCTTCGCGATTTGTCTCATTCAAAGGAGGAGGACGGCTGAAGCATCAAAATATTAGGGGTCTATCGGGGGTTGTCTTCCCTGGAGTCGTTCCCGCGAGTACGGATCTAATCATATGCTATTATGCTAACTTTCACCATGTTCAAGAGACTCCGAATAAGTACCCCTCCATCGGAATAGCCGCCCAGTCACGCCTTGTCTGCATCCGAAGCCTTTGTTAAGCAGATGTGCCCTCACATAGTATAGGCCTTATATAAGCGACGAAGCTGCGGCAATGAACGCTTTTCTGTGATGATCTTCGCTTACTTCGAATGCTGCTCGGCCGGTTAGTGCCCAGTATTTCGAGTCTGGAACGGGCTGCATTTAACGCTCTGCCACACATGTTGCGGCCTTGGGACTTCGCAGAAAAATCCTATTCCATCTCGAGTTTTTGAAGCTTTTCGTTAAGACATCTCGTTAAAACGAGGAATCGGTTCAGAGGATCGTTCCGCTGCTTCCGATCGCCCTCCAGCTTGCGTCACAGCGGAGTCGTCCCGCGACGAGCTCTGTCCACGTCTGCAAGACAGAAAAACTGAGAGCTCTCCTCGAGTCCCCCGGATTAGGTAGTCGATTCCCTATCGAATACCACATGATATCGTAACCACCACTCAGATGATCGATGATAATGGTATACGATAGACGGGGCTGCTTCAGACTCTTGAGTTTCGGTCGTTTCGGTGCAGAGTGCTTTTCATGCCTCAGCTTCCGTCGAAGGTGATGCTGATGAGCGTATTCGCCTTACCGTTCTAAGAGACAGAATAATTCAGAGTAATTGTCTGGGGCCGCGAACGGTTCCGCTCGTCAGCTCGTTCACTTCCCGAAGCAATTCGATACACTACGGCTGCTTTTCGGTCATAGGTTAACCGACAGCGTATTAGAGATGGTACGATATGAGCTTGACGTCGCAATCGGATTCATTATCTGAATACAAAAAGCCAATCAACTAAAACGTTCTTTACACATCAACACGAGCGTTATCTGCCGTGCAACCGTGCCCAGAAACCAATACTGGGGATCGTGTCGACTAATTGTGCCACAGCGCTCGGCTTCGATTCCGTCGTTGTGAGATCGGCAGGATCAGAAGATGTTGCGTCTGGGCGACGGGGGAGATTCTGGAAGAACCATACGTCGGTCAAACCTCAGGATAGTCTCAGCCTCCGCCGGATGCCGAGTCCATAGCACCAGAGTCTACTTCAGAATCTCTCCGGTTCGGCACCTCGACGTGCCATGTACTCTTTACATATCGCGTCCCTCGACGTTCCGGGAAAGTCTCGGAGGCAAATAGGTTCAGACAAGGACTTCGTGCAATGCTTGTGCATTTCTTCAACGTAGATAGAGTCGGCCGTGCACCCTGAGCCTTGCGATTTCCTTCCTGCCCTCATTTGTCGTCCGCCGCCTTCTGGACGAGGGTTCAGACCTTCGTTAGAGACTCCGAGGGGAAAATTCCTCGAATGTCGGAAGTTCCTCCGGGAAAGTCCTTGCTATCGAATGGAGCTCACCAGGACGACTTGACTCCTATTGGAGACGCTTTCCAACGGAATGACAATTCCGAAACTCGATTCTGAGTATCACTTCGTAGAACTGAGGGAGGGTCGCCTAGCAACTCCACCGGGGACTCGCGAAGTGCAACCGAGAGGGTTGAGGTCGATGCGCTCGCTGGGCGGCGCGGCGCCACTGGCAGAGCGCGGAAATGCGAAGAGCCAGACCGATCCCCGTGACGCTGGCAATTGTCCACGTGCACGAGGGGGAACCTGCTCCTCCCCATGACAGATGAGAAGAGGAGACCTCTTCTCATCTGTCATGCGTCTGTCTGTGTGAACGGTCTCATCCTCGATCCTACAAACACTTGAAGCGAGAGTCGTTTCTTCTTGGAGTCTTCTCTGGGGCTCGCTTGGAAATTCTATCTGAAACTTCCGCATTGACCAGTGCGCCTTCCTCCGGGGGAAAACCGCCCGCGGCAATGCGCCGTGTCTGCGCTCTGTCCACAGCCTATTCCTAAATAGGTAATCGCTAATCATCTCGAGGATGGAAACACGTGTTCTCATACCGCGGACTGTCGCAGGCTCCTCTTACATAATATGATAATGATAAGCCCGGAAGGATCCGGACTGACGAAAGAGAATTCTCTCATATCCGAGACGCTGGAAAATCGCGGCTTATTCTTAGCTTCCTGCTTACAGGTTTCCATCTCACGCCGAAGCTTCACCAGATCTGTCCTGAGTCATGCATCCTGATCGTGATCGGGGTTCTGATCGGCTTACTCTTCCACTACGCAGGCGTCGAGGTGAGTTTTGAGTGCGAGGAGTACAGGGTAACTCGCGAGGAGGGTTCGGAAAGCCCAGCCTGTCTCATTATCCCAAGCTGGTGTTTTCTTTCAACGCCCGCTGTACCCCAGTGATAATCGGGCTCGTCGTTTTGGATTTTGAGTCTTCCTCAATATGTAGGGGAATGCCCCGATTATACAATGTACGGGCTTCCGTTCTTTCCAAAGTCTGATTCCATGGCTGCGGCCAAGTAGATGACATCGAGTTCAGAGGAGTGGATATCAGACGAAACCAATCATCACGCTTGGTCCTCGCGGTTTTCAGGAATTCAACAATCCTCTGACGCCGAGAGTATTCTTCACATTCATGCTTCCCCCAATTATACTGGACGCAGGCTATCACATGCCCAACAGGTGAGTAACTTCTCGAGTATGAAGAGAGATGCGGATCTCCCATCGATAATCGACAGGTGGATACATGGAGGATATTCTCTCGGGACGATCTTTCGACTGATATTGAAAGATACGATACACCGGAATCTAAGCATCGTCCCATATCGCGGAATTTCCGGCAAAGAGGAATATCGGCATAAGAATGAGTGGCATGACGTACGCGGGACGCAAGCGAAGTCCGACGAGATCTCCGTGCTCCTAATTGGACCTCTATCCGAAGGTCACGTGTTTCCATCACACGCAGCATGCTGCGAAGCCATTCAATCGAACAAGAAGGCTCGGGGACTGCCAAAAGCACTGATTTCGTCCCCAGTGGGGAGCACTTGCTCGGCTTCTCGAAAGGATCAGCGTCTCACGAATTCGCGATAGGCTCAGCGAGGACTCGAAGTAGAAATCCTTCCTCGAGATATCGCCGTATAAATTTCAATGTTGCGTTGACGGAAACATCTATTTCACTTTGCGCCTCGCTTTCATTTTTTCCCCCTCAAATATTCACCGTGCGGAATAATCGGTAACTGTCCGGTGGGCGTGCTGCGAACTACGTCGTCACAGCCTGATGACGCAGAGGAACGACATCTCGCCAGAGCTCACCTTCCGTGATCTGCAACATTAGCTTCCCATCAAGGTTAAGGTCTTCATCTTCACTCGGCATGAGCGCCTGACTTGTGAGGACAATACTCGCCCAAGCTGATGGTGATCCGGTTTCCCGGACGAGCAAGCCAGACACATCCGAGAGGATCGTGATGAAACAATTTTAGGTTGGACGAAGGGAAACGGAGAGGGAAGGGCGATTGCTCGCTCGATGACTGTTGAGGCTGAGAATCCACGTGGATGGGTCGTAGTCTCGTTCGTCACAAAGTTCCGACTCTCGTAATGCGTCCGGCCATAACATTTATACAATCTCCAATTCCAGATCATTTTTCGACAATCTTGGCACAATTTTGATGTTCGCTGTGGTTGCGACGGTGTGGAACGCCTTCACCGTGGGCCTCTGCCATTGGGGAGTAGGACTTTCGGGGTTCTACGGAGCAGTGGTGAGTGATAAGAAGTATCCGTTCCTTATGCCGGGCGTCTACGGACCCCGAAATCAGTATCCGGTAATGTATTCGAGGGGAATCTTCATGACCTTCGGTTTGCATTCGATTCCAGCCCATCGGAGTATTGGAATGTGTTCTGTTCGCCTCTATAATCGCAGCGGTCGACCCCGTAGCCGTACTGGCTGTGTTCGAAGAGATCCACGTGAACGACCTATTGTACATTATAGTTTTCGGAGAAAGTCTCCTCAACGACGCAGTCACTGTGGTGAGTATCCGGTCTCCTCTAACGATGTGGTGCCCTGCAATCCAAAATGGCACTCCCTCCCCCCTCCGCCCATCTTCACCGATCAGTGGAATCCTAAATGATTGGAATCCGCCGAGATGGCCTCCGAACTACTCTATGTATATCGAGGAACGGCCTGCACTCGAGATGCGACAGGCGCTGTATGTGCGAAGATCCTCTCGGAACGGTATCTTCTCCGAGATGAAGAGAATAATTATCATACCATTCTTGTAGGTTTTATATCGCATGTTCGAAATATACTCCATCTTGGGCATTGAGCATGTAACCGCGTTCGAAGCTTTCAAGGGGATCATAAGCTTCTTCGTCGTTGCTCTTGGAGGCGTAGGTGAGTTGAGGCTCCAAGCGAAAAAAAGTCCGGAGGCGGAATTCGGGATACTACTCTGATGTCGGCGACTAACTCGCTCGGTAGCGGCGGGGTCCGTCGTCATGCAATAGTTTTCCCGGCGGACTGAAATTCACGAGGGAACATTGTCTAACTATCCCCGAGAGTGACCGAGCTAGGTCGATGGGTTGGGGAAGACCGGTTCTGACGGAAATGGTATTCTTTCAGCCGTAGGTATAATTCTCGGATTGGTGGCAGCCTTCACATCGAGGTTCACCCATCACGTGAGACCCGTCGAGCCTCTATTCATTTTCTTATTCGGATATCTCGCGTACTTGCTCGCCGAGATGTTCAAGCTTAGTGGGATCCTATCGCTAACTTTTTGTGGTGAGTACGAGCCATACAAGTCATGGCCGGATTGGACACAAAATGAGGATTTTTTTCTGACCACTTGTCGCGACCTCAACTCACTAACGTCGGATGCTCTAGAATGAATCAGGACGGACTCGATGATATAAAGCGGGGGGCTTTTTTTCTGAAACAGGGATGACAATGAAAAACTACGTCGAAGAGAACATATCCCAAAAATCGCACACAACAATCAAGTATGCCATGAAGATGATCGCTAATTGCTCCGAGACGATCATTTTCCTCTTCCTAGGAGTCACAACCGTGAGTAGTTTTTCTGGGGGAGGAACCCATGTCGTATCGGCTGTCGACGAAATCAGGGCTCCGGGACACCTCGTCGGCGCGATCGCCGAGTATAATCTCCTCTTGTAGGTACACTCTATCAGTTCCCCAGTATCATTCCGAACATGATATTTACTCGCAGGTGAACGATATGCACGAATGGAATACGCGCTTCGTGTGTCTTACCATATTTTTCATCACCGTTTTCCGGACATTGGGCAAGTTGTCTATCTTTCATTCCGCGGAACTTTCGTATGAGCCGATATAGAACTTATTCAGCCGGGTACGCTGTGTACCGAGCGTATCAGTCGATTGACCTCGCCCGGCGATCAAGGTCATGAATAACTGAGTTTGATCGAGCGTGGGTCGTCTCCGACCGGCCGGCCCCCTCCCCACCGAGCCGGAGCAATCGAGTTGTATTGACGCATCAGAAGCACCTAATTTGGGAATTTTGAAACGTACAGGTGTTATAATGTTCACGTGGCCGCTGAATCGCTATCGTCTTCATAAACTCACCAAGGTTTGTGAAGCGTCGTGATTTCGCCGACCTAGTTCCTTCAGGCTTCGCGGGTTACTCGAATCAATGAATCCCTCCTGGTCTGGAAGCATTTTCGTTGCTCTCGCTGATCCGAGTTTAGGGACGTAGACTCGTGTAGTCGGCACTTCAACGCTCAAACACCCATTCCGTGTTTCCTTCTCAGGTTGACCAGTTCATAATGTCCTACGGGGGCCTCAGGGGAGCGGTGGCCTTCGCACTTGTCCTCGTTGTTGACGAGGAGGTGAGTCTACTGGATTCGGATGTGGGTCAGGGCTGCCGCCGACGCGGCTGTTGCCGGGTTCGATGTACTAGTAGTCGATCCACGAGTCTGTGCCACCTTCATTTCCATCGCGCCTTTGGTGTCAGCGCTGGATACATGAGCCGATTATATTCTGCTTCACAGATTATCCCTCAGAAGAGGATGTTTGTTACCACGACGATCGCCGTCATCTATTTCACCGTTTTCTGCCAAGGAATGACGATCGGTCCTCTGGTCCGGTTGCTGAACGTTCCTGTGAAAGAAGGGGTAAGGGGAAGATATCGAACAATGTTGACAGAGGGATGCCGTCAAAGGCTCCGGAAAGTGTTCCATGATCCCGAAAGAATTCGAGCAGACCTATGACGACGCATGGTTTCGGGCGATATTCGAATAGCACCCAGCGGATGACTGCTCGAAAATTTCACGATTGGTCCTCGTTTGGTGGTGAGAGGCTCGGGAATTGACCGAAATCTGAAGGTTTCAACAACCTACAGGGAAGGATTTCGATGAATGAGCGTCTGCATACGCGTCTGTTTGACCACCTGATGGCAGGGATCGAGGACATCTCCGGACAGATCATGGGCAACTACAAAATACGGGACAAGTTCAAACGTTTCAACAACCGTTGGATAAGGTACGCAGAGTCTCCTCGAGTCCTTCCCGATCCACACTCTGATTAACCTCGCCTCAGAATTTGTGAATAATTGAGCCTTTCTCCCTCGTAGACCAATTTTGCTCAACGATCACAGGGCGCGAGAGCCGAAGATCCTCGAAACTTGTTCTAAACTCACTATGGCCGACGCGGTGAGTGGAGAAAAAAACAGTTCTCAGACCCGGTGTGGTATCGCGCTGCTTGCATTGAACAAAATACCAAACATCGGATCCTCTCTCGGTCATCGCTAGCGCCTTCTTTGCAGCTCAACATAGCGAAGAAGAACAACTCCGTCATCAATACATTCGCTTTGTCCAAAGAGAATGGAATGTCCCTTTCAAGTATCGTTCGAACTTACACACAAAGCAACCTCAACATGGGATCTGCGGGGTGAGTTCCTGAGGTTGAAGCTCCATGGTTCTCCAATCAATTGCCCTCTCTGAGTTCTCCGAGCTCAATAATTGATACCCTCAGCGATGCGGGCCTACCTCGGAACGACTCGTTCGGCGGAATACCAGTAGGTGACCGTTCTACGGACCTAAATTACGATATGAACGAGCTGCACTGGTCACCCAGCGGGAAGGTTTGTTTTTGATTGAGTTTCGCTGTTCGATCGAAGCTGAATCGATGCTCGCGACTACAAATAAAACTATTCCTCACAGGACGTACAGGAAGCGGAATTGCACCATGTACTGAAAGATGCACTCGCCAAGCCTAGGGTAAGTTCTGTCGCTCGCTCGACAATAGCCCGACCAGCAGACCGTACTGTCGGTATCAATTATGTGTCCTTCGGAGAGAGCTGCGGTCTGTACGTGTGCTAAGAGGAACTATCGACCCTCCCGGTATAGTTGTTCAGAACAAGACAAGTTTCCGAAGTCACTTCTGGAAGCCTCAAAATATACGCCGTGACGTTTCTCAATGATTGATCGGGGGCGGTCATCTCGACTCCGCTCAATATCTGCAGCTCGGAGGAAGAGTAGAAACTTCAAGGTCGCCCCCCCCCGGGGATGTTTTGTGGTGACTTTGAGCTTCGATGTCGAATTACCAAGATCTCACCGTTGAAAGTGAGCCGTCCTCGCACGCACGTCTCTCTGGACCTGCAGGGATTCATTCAGGGAACTTTACCAGAACTAGTCAGACACAGAGAATACATGACCAGACTATACCTGAAAACGTCACTGATTAGAGGGCGTGGTTTGGGGGTGGCGTGCTACTTTGTCGAGTGGCTTCTCTCACGATCGGCTTCCACTCGAGAAACTCCGCCTGTAATCGGCCTCGAGCGATGCCATGTGCCTCATAATACTTATAATCGCTCCGATTTCGATCGCTCGGAATGCTCCAGTCATGATGGGTGGTAATCTATCTGCATTTCGGAAGGGGCCAAATACGCAGTCTGCCATTAGGTGGAGACCCGGTTCTGTTGCACGACGCGATAGTTCACTGCGTCTCGAACGTAATGTCAGAACCGCCGCTTCATCCGCTTCCCTGCGTGAGGGAAGTAATCTTTCTTGCTTCGTTTTTTTTCTCTCTGCCTGATGACCGGCTTTCGCTCGCCGCGTTGAGCTGATATCGATCAGAGATCTCATAAGCTCCAGATGATGTTATTGTTAGGTTATCAGTCCGAGGCCATTTTTCCCGACGATATTGACGGGTATATAGAGGAGCTCCAGGTGCTCTGACTGAGTGACCTTGGCCAAGGTCACGCAGTCTCTGTAGTCGAGCTCGTCGTGAACATCAGCATCACTCTCGTGGACCTCAGGGACAGTTCACCGATCACGTCCAGCCATCCTCGGTGTCGATTTATCTCCTGGAATTATGTCGATCTGCTTTCGATAAAGTCCGCGCAGAACACGCTTAGAGCTGTCCGTGCAATAAATTTCGGGATCTGGACGATTCGGAGTTTGGAATCTCCCCTCCGAAGCGACCCTCTGAATCGGAGCGGACTCGTGGGCCGCGTCGCCACGCCAATAATTAAAACGCCTGGCTCTTTTTTCAGTCACGATACATAAGGTGGCGCGATGAGCAGAGGTCGCCGGATGGACGTCACCCGGCAACGGGTGCTGCTCCTCTACACCATGAACTTAGAATGCAAACCCGGTGAGCAATTTTATCTGTTGAATAAACCGAGGCTCGTCAACCTCTATTGTCAACGATAATAATACGAGCGTCGGTGAGGCCCGACCTTGAGTACCAATCGAGTTTTTAACCCAACTCACGCCCATTGCCGCAATGTAGACGTGTGCTGAGCGAGGACGCTAGGAAACGGAACGTCAAAAAGCAGCAACAGCGACATACACAGGACAAGAGGGTATGTACGACACAGTAAGAAAACTTCAGAGGAGGATATCCGCCGATTCATAAGTTTGCTTGTGCTCCTCTCGGCCGCAGGGAGAAGCGAGTCTGGTCAGTGCCGACAGCGGCGGAGCTCATTTCGAGAGAATCCAATGGGGGGGAACAAACGAGATTGCGTATGATCAGAACCCATATGGGATGAGGTCTAGTTTCGAACTTGTGAACAACAGCATCTCGCGGCTGAAGATGGCCGCCCGGGGGGGGGGGTGGGAGGAAAGGTGTGAAGGCGAAGTTCGACGGGCGATATAAAAATAATGAATGATTGTAGTTGACTCTGTGCCCCGAACGAATGAGGCGAAACTCGATTTCAACTCTGACGGGAAATAAACACCATATCGCCGCTATCTGTGGAGACATCGATATATGTTGTTGTGTTGACGTGGAGATGGTCGATCTCACTATTGAGGACGACGGCGCCGATGAGGACGACAGCGGCGAATCCAACTGGACTGGTGTCCGTGAAACATCTGCCGACGATAGCGAGGTAGTTCTCTCTGGATCGATCGACCGTTGTCATCATCGACGACCACGACGACGATGATGATTCTGCACCGGGTGTCGTGCGTGAAGCAACGCCTCTGTTCCGTTTCGTTTGTTTTATTCTGTCATCGGGAATTGAAACTTTCTCTTTGAAACACCAATCGCTCGATCTTTCGCCACGCCACTCTCGGAACTTGGACGCCTGATCTCGGGAAGGGATCACTTCCCCTACTTCCCTTCACTTGGGGGGGCGACCGTATCAATGATATGGAGCGGATGGCCGATAGTAATGCCGGTAATCTTATCCGCAGAGTGGGCTGAACTCCGCGTCAGGAGTGCACAGGAGAGGTCCTCGAGGAGGTGCCGCAGCGGCAGTCCTCGGACGTAATAAGAGCCACTCGCAATTCTCTCACCCTGAAACTATAGAGGAGGGCGAGCCTCATCTCGGAAGGTGAGTTCCTCAACGTTGGATATGACGGTCGGGGCTTATCTCCGTATTGTCCTCACCCGCGATCAGAATGCTGATGCCGTCCTGACTCGGTGTAATCAGCAGCGAGCTTATCCGAATTGTTCCCAGGTATAACATGGACTTCAACTCGAACCTGGATGATGAGCAGGGTATCACATTTGTAGCCCGCTCGTCTTCGCAGCGAGATCCTCATAAGGAACGAAAAGCCCTCACAGAGACTGAGGCTGTCCTCCCCTGGAAGAGGGGTGGAGAAGACGTGGGAGATGAAAATCAGGTTCGTCCGAACGAGACTTGAAGCTACAATACTTCTAGCTTAATGTCGCAAATTATTCTCAGATCATATCTTCCCGGGAAAATTCTGACGCTGCTCCCGGGTGGATGTTGAACTTTCGCTGGATCAAACAGCAGATGGGCAACAGCGCCAATGGATATGGGTTGTCATGCCCGACATAGTTTAGATTTGGACTGAGTGATCAGCGGAGCTAGACCTTTGGTCACGCATAATCAGACGGAATTCCATCGGAAGCAACGACTGTCGATCGATTCGCGACATTGACTACGGGTCGGTACCGATAGACATGTCGTCCAATGCCTCTAAACGTGACTATGTTTATGCCAACAGAGGCAGCAGAGTCGTCCGATGAACGAAGTACCGTCTTGGTTTGAAAACATGGAATACACCCGTTACCGGTCACCAACGGCGACCCTCATAAACAGACTGGACAACAATAAATCGCAAGGAAAACCAGCTGTTTATGATATTTTTGACGGCAAGCAGCAAGCGGGTTCCAGCTCCAAGAATCCGGACGATTCGACAATTATCCAGGTCAGAAGAAATCAATGTATCCCCCCATCCGCTTCCGGTCCCATAGTCCTTCATCCCTAAGCGCCTATTGTTATCGTTCCCGAGAATCCGAAGATTTCTCATGAAAAAAACCTGATCCGAGGACTCATATCTTAATCGATCCTCTCGCAGATGGAGACCGATGCGCGAGCTGGTGCTTCGGGAGAACAGGAACCAGTGGACAAGGTTCGACTATGAGAGTCAAATCATCGCCAAGCTTCACAGTCTGAAGTCCCTCCTACTGAGTACTTTTCGGCACAGAACGTTCAACTGACATGTAATCATTAGACACAATTCAAGGACAAGAGTAGCCACGACTGCGATATGCCGGAGAGAAATTCAGCGCAGAGCGGGAGTCACGATACATGGAAGGGATCAAGCCACAACGAGGTTCACAACTTAACCAATACGTGTGTAACTACAGAGCCGACCACACGGACGTCACAAACTTGAAGTGATCTTAACCTATTTATGAATATGGTGGAAAAATCAGATCTTGTTAGTGCTGAAAGCTTCGGATCGAGCTGACAAATACCACGCCGAACACCGTCACGCCAATGCTCCCGAGGTACCGAGAAACTGCGGCAGCAGGGGGTAGTTGACACGACATCCGAGCATCCCTGGCACACCGTAATGACAAGTTAGGGTCAATGATTTTAGCAGAAAGGGAATAGCTGCATAATAGATGAATTTTCAAAATGTATGCCGACGAGTGAAGCTTGTCAAAAGAGGGAGAACCATACCTCGATTTTGTATAAAAACAAATAATTTGTAAGAAAACGATCTATCCACGAAGAACACGATAGAGAGTCGATGGAGGCAGTGAAATAATTACGCTCGCGGGGAAGGTTCCAACGATGAACGATGGATTGCCATCCGGATGGCTCCTATTCGGATGCCACGGCAGAGAGAAGTGCCAAATTCTTTCAACAAATCCCTATTTTTCCCTCAAATCAAAGGATTATTCTCGTGAGCTCGACGTATTGCTGGTAGGATTGATTGAAGACCAAGTAAACGCGCCCAAGACCGACTCCTTCCAATTTTTGATCGATGCTCGAGCTCTTGACGATGACATACTTTTTGCTATAAATGTATGTTGAGATTTTTCAATAAAAGAGAAAGGAACTTCTGTTGGTCGAATGGGGGAATGTTTTGCAGCAAGGCGATGTCTCTCCAACATGCTACTTTTCAATGTCTTCACTAAGGACGAACAGCCGCATTTCACCGATTCACGTCGGTCTTACTCGAGATGCGGCTGGACTACGGGCTCTTTTCAGTGCTCTTCTCGTATCTGCTAGCGGTTGCGACCTAATCGAACCACGAGAGCCCGTCGTCGCTGTCCACAAGGAAAACCGAGACCGGAATCCGAACCTACTCTCGTAGGTCATAAGCTCAGGATCGATGTGAGCCGCCAGAGGAAGAGATAGCTCGGGAAGCTGGTGAGGTGCGAAATGACCGAGCTGGCAGCCTGCCGTAATTCAAGAGATGAGGGCCGCAGATTTTTTTTCAATAACAGCCGTTCCGATGCTCCGTGAGCTTTTTTATTTCCCGACCTTAAATATTTACGTACACAGTGACTATCCTGCATGGATATCCTATACACTAGGGGAACATCCCGTCACAGCCCGCGCGCACGGGTGCCGAGGAATTCCCTCCCAACGGATCACTTCTTGCGGCTTCCTCCTCCACCGAGCAACATAGCGATTCGGATGAAGATGTTCAACGTGTCAGCGTAGATCGAAATTGAGTTGTTGATCGGGTCGTACGGAACGACACCGTACTGCGGATGAGTTTCAGCTCTACGCATGATCTTCTGAGTGTCGTACAGCAGGAAAGCGCTGAATAGCAGGAGACCTCCATACATGCTCATCGAGTACAGGCCGGCGCCCAATGCGGTCGTGGGCGGAAGGAACGCGGACCCCACCGATGAGGCAAAGACGACTCCGAGACCTACGGCCAGAGGACCCCCCATGTTCATGAACTTGTCCGACGGGGCGCAGCAAGCCACCGCCGAGAGACCACCGACTACGCCGGCGGTATACCAAGCCGCCCGCATCAGAAGGGGACCTCCCAGAATGCAGAGCGGTGCTACCATCGCTCCCATGAGAGCGCTGTGGCCTGCCCAGGCCAGTTGTTTGCCGTTCAGTCCCGGTTCATAGGGCAAACTGTGCACAAGTATATTCGACCCGATAATGAGGACGATGCTGCCGATCATCGCCTAGAATTAACAAAAGTCATCAGGATCAGTTGTCATGACCGTTCCATTCATCTACATGATGTTTGAGGAGGAGAGCGAACTCCGAGGGGGAACTCACGGGTATAGAGTTTCGCGCGACGAGGTTCATGGCGGCAGGGCTTCGGAAGATGGCCGCAGCCGATGCAGCGGTGATCGCCAGTCCTCCACCGAAGTAGGCATAAGTCGTACGGACTCGCTCCTTTACGTATTCCGGCCATATCGCCGCTCTGGTGCTCACCGAGGTTGGCTCGAAAGTCAAGCCGTAGTAGCAGAGAGCTCCCAGTCCGAATAAGGAGCCTCCAGCGATGGCACCTTTGCCAATCTCGAACGCTGTGTTCGGGAGCAATGGGAAATCTCAGTCAGTATAGAGGTCCGGGAGGTGATTTTTTCTTCTCGAATATTCTCCTACCGCAGAACTCACCCGTTGACCCGGCGGGTTTCGCGACGACCTCTTTGAGACTCCTTCGTCTCTCCACGATTTTCTCGAGCCGGCTCCTTTGGGTGAAATTACGCGCACAGGGGTTGGTCCTGAGAAGGGCATTTTGGCTGTTCCTGCACACGGCAGAGAGTGCCAATCTCGACGCCGATAGCATTCTTCAAGTTCAACTGTGAATGAATCAGTGAAATAATTTCAAAAGACGCAAAACAACATTCATTGGGGCCCTACGTTGTAGTCGAATTAGACAATTCGCGCGCTTGCATATTCTAGGTAGGTGTTGGGTATTGAGGAACTTTCTCGAATGTTCCTCTTTCTCGACTGCACGATTTTCGAGACTCTGTGATCCTTTGAGAAGCTGACCGATGGGAGTAAAAGATTAGCGCTACAAGCGTACTGGATTGATGCCCTGATCCGCGGATTCTGATCTGGGGCTTAATAGTCGTCCGCGGAGAGGAGTCCGCAAGCGATTCGCAATTTGCACCACGACGATTCGACTTGAAATACTCTCCAGTTCCATTTCGCTGTCGAATTCCCGATGCCGGGCACCGGAACTTTGACCCAATGATTCTGTGTGGTTAGTTCCCGCGGGATCTGAGTAAAAACGTTTTCCAAGTCGGTTCTAGCCGCGGACTCTATCGCTATCAAGGGTCACGAATGGAGCTTCCTGAATCCCGACAAGTTACGACTCGAGTCAACTCAAGCCCTCCGGCTTAATGAGGTAGTCAGAGCGAGATCGAATCCGGCACGAAGAGAAAATTTCGAGTACAGAATTCACGCATGTTCCTCAACCGCGTCCGCGGTATCGAACTCTCGCGAACATCAACAATGACAACACGTACGAACGTGTTGGCTTGCGCAATCCGCGGAATCAGCTTCTGTGATCTCGCTTGCTCCAAGACAATGGAATAACCCCCGCTCCTAGCTCTGCCATACGATCCTACTCACCGGGCGCTGATTTTCTGCTGGAATATCTGTGACTCGATGTTGCCGAACGCAGCGATACTGCTCACTGTCCGATGCTCTGTGATCTACGAAGGCGAATGAACGCATTCTTGTTTTGAGGAGGCTAGGAGCACGCGCGGTTGTTTGCGCCGTGTCTGAGTGAGAGGGGGAAAAAGCCCAATGATGAGTCGTTTTGGGTTGAGCATGTGATTCCGAGAAGAGAATGCGGAGCGCGAAATAAGTTGGTTGAGGAAGTCTCTCCTGAGGAACGACGCCATGGGAGACTCGGCTCCCGTTCAGTATCTCATGCCCCTCTATACCGCCAGTGCGCTCCGAGACCTTCGAATTTGCAGAGGCGTACTCCGAGAGAATTCGCGAAACTTCGAGATGAAATGATCGTCGACCGGCGCTGATCCGCCTATAGTTGACACCGGAAGCGGTCATGAATGGGAAATCATGACTGTACTCCATTGAATCTCCGAATCGCTCCTGAGTCGAGCTTCCGATCGGGCTTCCGCTGCACTTCTCGAACCTCCCAACGCAGAGGTCATGTTGAGTGAAGGAGTTTCCAGCGAAAAGCAGAAAATCACGTCTTCGGCTACCATATATCGGACAAACCAGCATCGTGAACTTGTATTCTATCCTAGGTGCGCAGCGATCCGGCTTCCATACAAGATCTTTGTGGCAGAAGTCGCGGTTATGAAGCAAACCTGGATTCATGGATCCCCCCCCCCTTGTAGGTTACCGATAATCGCTTCATGGTAATTATTATCGTTCCGATTACGCTTGGAATCCGCGCGCCCGAGGAGGCCGCACCGTGATGGTCCAATCGGCAGCGATTTCAGTTTTGCGGGAGGGAAATTCGATCGATGCGCTGCGCTGGAACATGCGCACAGACGATCGTTGGAAAGTCGAAGCAACTTTGTGTCGGCTCGGTGTTCAACTGGAGACCGGTCTCTCGACTCCGGATCTCGAATCATTTTCGAGCTCGTGTTCCTTGTCGCTCCCAGGTCCCATCGGAAGTCGTAAGTTTACCGAGGTTTGTCCTCAGATAAGGATGAAAACTTCCTATGATCTTCATCCAAAGCTTGGCATTCGATTGAGGGAGAGCTCAAGCAGCTCAAGAATGGAACTCAGAGTGCCATCCGGGCGGAATTGAAAGAGCGGCTCCTTCTGGAAATACATAGATGAGGTACGACAGGGCATGGGCACCTCGAATAACGGTATATCATCCCGGCGATTCTCTGCCGAGCAAGAGCAGAAAGCTTTGCGCTCCCCGCTCTGTGATAATCGGCGGCACATTCGTCATTATCGGTCGGGACCTCGAGTAAAGAAGCTTGAGAGGCCCTGAATGAGGTTCACCGTCAGAATCGGCCTCTGCGTGCACGGAAACTATTCCGACTTGGAACGGATCAAGATTTCATTATTATTCATAACCATACGGAATTTCTTTTCCCATCTGCTACTTTCGCGAAATGAATGGCTCTAACCGACTCCGATTAGTGGTATCAATGCTTTGACTTCAAGTTCCGTCCGAATTTCAAGTTTCTAGGCGATTCAGACCCATTCGCTACTCTCTCATGTCCCCGAATCGGAAAATCTTTACATGCATCGAAACCATCGAAATTTGTGGATATTGACGAGGGCGGGAAAGCTTGTATTCCAAATTATTCCACCCCGAATCTCTCGGCCAAGGAAGCCTCAGGTCCGCTTATATTTAATATAAAAAAATTGAGACCCGGTTCGACCCGGTTCCCGAATACCGAATATTTCATTCTTCGTTCAAAATGCGGGAATCCGAGGGAATCTGCGGAAATCCCAGCATATCGATCCATTAATTTAATTTGTTGGGTGCGGTATACTTCCCCCGACATTCTGGAAGGTCGTCCTGGGCTCATCAGCCGCTCCCTCTGATGCTCCGAGCGCAGATCTATACATCTCACGCCAGTCGGGATGCTCACGGAAGAGTCCCAGGAATCGCGAAACAAAGATTGCCGACGTTTTCGACTCCATAATACCCGGAAGAACTCGCGAGAAAACTTGACGATCTCTTCTGTATGTTGATGATTTCGTCGGATCCGTTGGTCGCAAGCTTTCGCCAACCTCCGAAACGTAAATCAAAGAGTATCGACCCCCAAGTTCTATCCTTGCTCAAATGTAGCTTCGTCTCTGAGGAAGGTACACCAACGGAAGTTGAGAATCCCTCAGGTTCAGAAGATCCTGAGATCCCGATGGATTGCGACAACCCCGGAGATCCGAATTCACCGCTTCCATCCGGAACTTCCGAGAAAGTTCCAGCGATAGCGACCTCTAATATCAAGAAAAGTGCTCGCGAGAATACCATCGTTCATTCATCAGTGTCAGTGTCTTGTATACCCTGATTTCTGCCGATTCCATTGAGCGAATAGGCTATTAAACTTTTTCACAAGCTTCTCCTTCTCTTCTGAGTCATTTATGATCGGAAAATCTCATAAAATAATTTAGTGAGCCCTAAAAGTGGCTTTGACGCCACTGTGCGCAGGTCTATATATCGATCTAGCCGCGGGTGCCCTTCCATTCGAGGGTGCTCTCCTGATAGGTGGTGCCCTACTGATACGGAAAATACGGTAATAGTTTTCTATGTTAGACGGGGTAGCCGGTCGTGTCCTCATTGACACCTGGCCTCCGGCTTGCAAGTAAAGGTATCTTCAAAAACTTCCGCCCGACCGCGTTCTTAATTCTTGCGGGAAGCTTCGCGAGGTCGCCTCAGGCCCAGATTTTCATATGTCTTCTCAAATGCCTCCTACCGTCGAGGAACCCCGGTAAGGAACAAGCAACAGGCGCAGCCGGCGGCAGAGCTCCCAAGGAGAGATCAAGACCTCGAACACTGAGTGACAACCGACCCCGCCTGTACCTGTTCGGCCCGCTCAGACACTTCTGGAATTCTAACCGATCACAGTGAGGCGATGGAGCTAATCGAGCAAGCAACGAGGCATGGCACATGGCAATAACATCTTTGACTACTGTCCGCCATGCCAGTCGCCATGAAATACGCCAAAGCCCAGGCCGACCCGACTGGCTGAAAGCGTGGGCAGCGAGGCGGCAGGCATGCCTTCGACGGTTCGATAGCGCCAGAGTCGCGAGAGCACTCGAGTGGATACGACGGATCGTCACGCGATTTTCTCGACCGAGCCAGCAACGCCGGATGACGCGACCGTCGAGCGTTTTCGTAACACAATATCTCAGAGGAAGCACGTCGCCGTCAACGGTTCGGCAACGGACCTCGGGGGAATCTAGGAGCGGCCTTAGATCTTTCGAGAGCGGATCTCGGAACTTCCGGGTTTCTAATTCCCGGAGTGCTCTGTGGGTAGAACTCCGATAATTTCCGGATAAATCATTCCGAAGATTCTCGGAGTTGAATCTTGTGCGGGCTAGTGCTCGAGGGATTGGAGCAATTGTAAGATGATCCCGGACTCATTCCAAAGATCCCCGAAGTTCGTTTTGGGAAGGCTCAGCTTTCAACAAGCTCACACATTCTCGGAGTGACGGAATCGTCGAGGGCGACAAGACTGACGCCAGCGATGATGAGTGACAAAATTTCTTATGATAAGCTCTATTCCTCATTCAGCTACGTCGCCTACATCATAATCGGTGAGAGAATTTATTCGGATATACTTCGAGCAAACGAAATTCCTCTTGTTGAACAAATGGCATTCCGCTCGAATAGGAGTGCTAGGGTCAACACAAAGGGGGAGGGGTCCTCTGTTGATTCGCTGCAGACGCTCGTTGGTGTCTGAATTGTTTTTCTCTTTCAGGCTCGATCGCCTTGGCCTCTGCCATCCCTGTCACCGGAATATCGGAATCGACGGTGGATCGGGTCCCTATCTCGGTGTTTCCGATCATAACTCACTCACCCCGCCGAAGGGTCAAGGGAAACCGGAGGAACGACACTGCTCCGTATCAGAGACAACCGCAGAGGTACATTATGTTGCGCCTAAAATTTTCGATCGAGGATAGAGGTCCACAAACATAGTCGAAGATCGATTTACCAGCGTGATTCGTTCCAGAGGCCGTTCGGGAGTCGGAACAGAGTTCCTCTTATGAACCCATAGATGCTGATGAGAGCACCGCTCTCGAGCGGAGGGGTCTCACATGACACGACTCAACACGGAAGTTAGGGACCATCGGTGTCCCTGGGGACCTGCCATCTCCAATACACCCCGAAACCGTTCGTGAATCGAATCACTTCAATCCTGAAGGAAATGTTCGAGGGTCGTTCTCGAGTGGGGCTTCCGTGAGTCGAGGTTTGACTGTAAAGCGAGATCTCGGGTCTCCCCCCCCCTGAGAGCCGAGATCCATCTCCATCTTTAATGAGGATCCGAGCTCGACTCACGATCAGAGAGTTCGAGATATTTTCCAGCGCATGACCTCAAACGAAATTCTGAACGATTTTTCTCATTGAATAAACAAGGATCAACTCCAAGCGCACTTCATGTGAGAGTTCCGTGTATTTTAAGTTGTCATTATGATAACATAGGCGTCGGTTCGGTCAAGAAGCTGGGGCTTGGCTGGCTCTCTCCGCGCGGTTCGGATGCTGAGCCTAACTTCGGCGGATGACCGTGACATTGAGGCATCAACATTTATACATCGGAGAATCATAAAGTGGCAGCTGTTCTCGATGGCGGGTGTCGGGTCACGACGCAAACTCGAGCTCTCCTAGGTTCGTCTTCTAACTTTCAGGAGCTCGCGTGAATCTTGAGCCCCACAGGGGTCTCTTGACAATAATTCTGACTTCGGTGCTCACGATTCACGATCTTCGTCGGGGCTCTCCACCATGCGGCGCTCGATGTCGGCGTCAGAGCACTCCGCGAAATGGGGACTCAGCTTCTGGTAGAGCCCAGCCATCTCGAGCGAGGCACACGGGGGCGTTTGCGAAGAACCGACTTCCGGAATCAGAAGTATGATGATATATGGATGTACAGTCCAAGAAGATTCTTTGTAGACTACATGTTGCGACGAGTTTTTTCAGCATGCTCGGTACAGCGCGAGGAGAACACTTTCGAGCACCATTTAGCACGAGAGCTCAAATCACGGATCATTGAGTCGACTTGTCCGAGCTGTAGAAACCAGCCCAGGGTGATTATTGAGGCACTGCGTCGGTGAATCCCGCACACGAACGGAGCGAATGTATGCCATGCAGAGGTGACGTTAAACTGACTGGAGCAGCGAGGCCAAGACAGAATAAGATTTCTCCTCCATTCGTGATATAGATCTTCCAACCGCGAGAGCTGTACCTGAAGCCACGCTTATTGTCAGTCTGCTCGGCGTAGTTTGCAGGCGTGGATCACCTCGCATTATCTCATGCAGAGGATTCCCGGAACTTCGGCTAGGGAATCGTGGCGAGACCGAGCTTATCAGCTAGCGTGCTGAATAATTTTATCCCACTGTTTACTCCAAGCGGATTTACTGCAACATACCGGTACATGCGACTTCACGAGAAAGCTTGTGGAGGTCATCCTACATGGACACACTTCGAGTCACTTAGGATTAGAAGCCGATCTCGTCCAGGAAAAGTCGAAGCGCTGACGCAAAGCGAGATTTCAATCGAGGGAATCGAGATCTCTGTCGTTCATGAGTGACTGTAGACAGGGGTAGGTGTCGGGGCGACTAGAGCTGATACTGAAACGGCACTCTGTCCTCGGAATCCGACATCGCCGAATTTCCGACTCACAGGCTTGGAACCAAGCTTCTTTCACAGGACCTACTGCGATGAGCCAACGACGACTATCCTCAGGGCCAGAGACCTCAGCCCGTAGGTGATCGCTCCCCTATAGCAACCGGTCGCGATGAATGCCCCCGGTAAACACTCAAGAGACGTGAGCGAAGGTTGCCGAAGAGTCGTGCCGATGAGAGCGTAGACCTCCCAGTAGGTTCCTCATTAGACTCATATTCGGGGCAAATGCTTTAATTGAGGCTGAAAATCTGGTCAGCTCCGAACACCCCGGGATTCGACCGATTCTGATGATCCTGGGACTTGGAAACCGCGACCTCCTGGAATGCAGATGCCCGAGATTTCCTCTACTCCTTGTGCTTGTTGTGTCGGCTCGGGATGAATAACTCGGATCCAATATCTTTGTGATTTATTTGAGGAATGTGTCTTGTGTAATGATACTTCGATATTTCGCTACCTCGTATATCGTTTATATATTTACAGAAAAATCTAAATGCTCGATTTCGCTTCTTGGAGTCGAAATATTTCAAGGATCTGTTGGGTCGGCGGCTCCAGTCCCCGGACTCTCGAGCTTCTGTCGTTGGGTCTCGTCCGCGTTCGCGTCGGTATGTCCTGTGGAGTTCATGCGTTTATTCCGGTGTTGGCATGACCGTCCAGGGCACCATCTTCCCTCGATTGAGGATTGGCTCCTCAAATTACTCACTGTTATGGCCCACTTCTTTCTCGGAATCGCGACACTTGCAGAAAGAGCATCCGATCTGCGGTACAACTTTAAAGCATCCTGACTGACACTGCGAGACGGGCGGGCAAGCCTCACATCTGCATCCTCCGCAACCAGGTTCACCATCGTCTTCATTCCAATGGCAAAGCTCGTCCCGTCGGGGGACGCAAGTTCTTTGCGGGCACTCCACGCACTTGCACACCTGGAGGTTTATGAACGTTAATACGATCTCATCTCACTCCAAGCTGCTGTCTGATTTCGCATCTGCTGCGTCCTCTATCTCGGCGATTCAATCGTAGCCAGCGTCACGTGGCGTCATGAAAGGTAATACAGAGATTTCGAAGGAACTCTGAAGTCTTCAGAAGCAATTCCAGTGACCTACCGGACAATTGTTCGGGTGTTGATACACCGCGCATGTGTGGCCCGGCGCACAATTCGGGAACGGTGGACATCTCCCTTGAACGCCTGCGAAATATGCTTCGAGGAAAAATTCTCACGGATCCGGATTGACTGGCGATGTTTCAGGGTATCCCTCAATTTTTGCCAGATAGTTTGGAGTGCAGATAGGAGTATAGGTGCTCTCTTGACTGCTCAGACTCAAAGACACTGCTCGGTCTGCGGGTATCATGAGTCATTCCCCCGCAGCCTTGAGGATAGTGCTGCAGATACGAACGATGAGACGAAATACCGGTACACAGTGGCAACCAGCACTTCTCGGATAGAAAGCCTCGCTCCGTTCCGCAAACAGACCAGAATGAGCGCTTCTCTCTGCGTATTTCCGCTCTGATTCACCCTCTCGTTCACACCGCGGTTTCGAAAAAGCCCCCGCTGAGGGAATCGCTAGAATCGCTGGTCTCCCCGAAGTCTTGAGCTTGGACACAATACAAAACCCGTGTCTGAATCGTGTGTTCGATCTTGACGTGTGATTCCATCAATCGACGACACTTTTAGCAAAACTCACCGTGGTCCCACAGATCTACTGTTTCGTTGCGCGGCCATGGAATGCAATTTGCTCCGCTAACTAATGCGATGAGAAGCGCCACTCGCACCGGACTAGATGCGAACATCGTATCGGGGGCTCGCACTGTGGAAGAGCACGTGTGATGGTCCGGAATTCTACTCTGGAAGTTTTCACCGGCTCCTGTCTACCTGCAGCGGTCGAAGCCGATCCGCTTTTTCTTCTGACCCGGTCTCTCACGACACAGACTGTCGACAATGATGATAATGACGGTCACCGCAGCAGCGGTGTCGACGCAACGACAGCAGCAGGATGGATCCCTCACTCCCTCTCTCCAGAATTCTAAAGAAACCAAATAGGGCCATTGCTGGATGACTCGGCCGATCGGAAATGTCATCGTATAGTGATGCTGAAGCCAAATTGGAGTCTCGACTCCATTGTCGCGATGTCTCCCCAGTGAGACGCTCATATTCCGGGAAGCGTGCTTCATTTTCGATTTTCGTAGAATCGCCCCTCTCGCTGTTCCCAACCTCATATGCATACCGATCAAACATACAGGGCGAGTGAATATTCTGCGTAGTGAAGGTCTGACCGAGTTTGCCAATCGCTTCCGTGGAACCGAGATCTTATTCTCTCTTCTTCAGGATATATTGATTCATATCGAAATAGCTCGGGGTCATGAGGTCAACGAGAGAAGTCGAGTTGTCCTTGAGTTCAAAGCCAGTTCAGTGAGTCGAGCCGAATAGTCAACAATTGGCGACGAGGAGAAAACAGAACCCAACTTCGGATCGTGCCACTTCTCGGAAATCATCATACGAAAATGTCCGGTGCAGCCAGCACTACGTTTCTTCCGTTCGCGCCGCGATCCGAGAAATTCTCAGCTTGGCTATGTCGACTCGAGAACTACCTACGCTACGAGAAAAAAATACTCCGGAGGACAAACTATGTGCCATCCTCGCTTTTATGGGGCTCGAGGCTTTCAAACGATTCTTCGACAAAGTCCCATCGGATAGAAAACCAGAGGAGCTCAGCTATGCCGAAATCACAACCCTGATGAAGAGATTTTCGAACCGGGGGAAACTTGTGGAGTGTTCGGCTGGCATTCCGAGGCACTCGTC